AATGCAAGAATTCCTTTCAACCCGAACCATAAACCCAAATGAGAAGTTCGTCTTCATGGGGAATAAAGTCAAGGTTCCAGTGGAAGCTCGTCGGGACTTATCGTTTAATCCTTGACACTCGGATATCACTTAGACCTTATGGATACTTTTTATGTACCTATTATCATTAGAAATTTAGTTTCTTTGTCTAAGCTTGATGTTGCTTGGATACTCTTTTAAGTTTGGGAATGGTTGTTTCAGTTTGTTTAAGCGTACTTCTATGATTTGATATGGTTAGGAGTATGTTAAGTAATTCATGTTTACCTGTATCGTTGTGGATGTATGCTTTAAAGACGATCATGTATTTGTTGAACAGGGTTCCTAGTAAAGTTGTTCAAAAGATTTTTGAGTTATGGAAAAGTAGGAAACCTAGTTTGAGACACTCGCTTGTTTGGGGTAGTCGCATGTAAGTAAGAATTTATAATCCACAAGAAAAGAAACTGGATGCAAGAACAATCAATGAATATTTCATTGGTTATCCGGAAAAATCAAAAGGGTATATGTTTTACTTGTCCTACCCATAGTACAAGAATTATTGAAACTGGAAATGCTCGGTTCATTAAAAATGGTGAAACCAAGTGGGAGTGGAAGCTTCACGAAATGTGGAGATTAAGGAAGTTAGAGTACAAGTTCCCATAAAAGGTACATCTACTTCAAGAGTTGTTGTTCCACATGTTGTAGAACCACACAACGATCAAGAAGAACAATAAATTAATGATCCCGAAATTAACAATGAACCGATAATAGAACAACCACAAGAAATAATATTAAGAGGATCTCATAGAGAAAGAAAGTCTGCTATTTCGAATTATTACATGGTTTATCTACAAGAGTCGAGAAAATGACTTAAGTATTGATAATGACCAAGTTTCATTTTCGGATGCCATTAATGGTGATAATTCGATAAATGGTTAGATGCTATGAAAGATGAGCTTAAATCAATGACACATAATGGTGTATGGGATCTTGTGGAATTGCCGGAAGGATGTAAGAGTGTTGGGTGTAAATGGGTCTTTAAGACTAAGCGTGAATCTCACGGCAATATCGAACGTTACAAGGCCCGACTTGTTGCCAAAGGTTTTACTCGGAAAGACAGTATTGATTATAAGGAAACATTTTCACCTGTTTCTAAGAAAGATTCCTTTAGAATTATCATGACATTAGTAGCTCATTATGATTTTGAATTGCATCAAATGGATGTTAAAACTGCTTTTCGAATGGAGATTTAGAGGAGGATGTTTATATGAATCAACCAATGGGGTTTATTGAAGAAGGAAAGGAACATATGATGTGTAAACTTAAGAAATCAATATATGGACTTAAACAAGCTTCTCGACAATGGTATCTTAAGTTCAATGATACTATTTTGTCCTTTGGATTTAAGGAAAACACTCGTTGATCGGTGTATATATCCGAAGGTCAGTGGGAGCAAGTTTATATTTCGATTCCGTATGTTGATGATATCTTGCTTGCGACTAATGATCTTGGTCTATTAAGTGAGACTAAGAAGTTTCTCTCTAAAAACTTTGAAATGAAAGATATGGGTGAGGCATACTATGTGATAGGAATAGAAATATTCCGTGATAGATCACAAGGACTGTTAGGTTTGTCTCAGAAAACATATATTAATAAAGTTTTAGAGAGATTCAGAATGGAGAATTGTTCTGCATCTCCCGTTCCAATACAGAAAGGAGACAAAATTAGTCTCATGCAATGTCCAAAGAATGACTTGGAATGGAAACAGATGGAAAATATCCCTTATGCATCTGTTGTTGGGAGTTTGATGTATGCTCAAACATGTACGAGGCCGGATATTAGCTTTGCGGTTGGTATGCTTGGTAGATACCGGAGTAATCCTGGACTCGGATCATTGGAAGGCTGCAAAGAAAGTTTTAAGATACTTACAAGGAACAAAGTATCACATGCTTACTTATAGGAAAGTTGATCACCTTGAGGTGATTGGATATACAGATTCGCATTTAGCTGGTTATATGGATACATGAAAGTCTACATTTGGTTATGTGTATCTTTTAGCCGGAGGAGCGATTTCATGGAAAAGTGCGAGCGATCAGTCATTGCTCGCATCCACCATGGAAGCTGAAATTGTGGCATGCTTTGAGGCCACAGTTCAAGCTAATTGGTTGCGGAATTTTATTTCGAGGATTTGGAGTAGTCGACGACATTGCCAAGCCGTTGAAAATTTATTGTGACAATTCCGCAACAATCTTCTTTTCTAAGAACGACAAGTATTCTAAAGGTGCTAAGCATATGGAATTGAAATACTTTGTCGTTAAAGAAGAAGTTCATAAACGTAGAGTGTCAATAGAACATACTAGCACTAATCTTATGATTGTTGATCCTTTAACAAAGGGATTATCGCCCAAATTATTTGCTGGCCATATAATGAATGTGGGCATTATGTTCACTAGTGAATGTTGAATGTTAATGTTATTATTAATGTTTATGTGACACTCGAGATCTTTAACGTATAAGTTTCGAAATTTGTGTTTTCTTCTTTATTTATATGCATGCAAATTATGATGAAGAAAACAAATTATGTTATTATTTTTAAAATGATATTATGTTTGAACTCATTATGGACTTCTCATTATAAATTCATATTAAGGAGAAAGAGATAATATAGTGGTACATGGAAGGGAGCCTGTCGATTGAATGACATGTAACCGTCATGACTCTTGTTATAGTTGTATCTTTAATTATGAATGATGATAGAACCAATTTATGTAAGGTCCTTTAATGCGCATTATGACTTAAGTATTAAATCACGGAATCGTATGACATCACATGAGTCAAGTGGGAGAATGTTAGAATTAATTTAATTAATTCATTCCATTATGTGACTCATGTGAAATATAATAATGGGCCCAAATGTGATTTAATAAAATATGAGGACCTATTGGTTATTATGTGAAGTTAGAATAAAATAAAGATAAAATAAAATATTAACTTACGGTAACCAACTTGATGGACGTTGGTTAATTGAATGGAATAAGGGTTCTGTCTCTCGGTCATAAAGTTTTTCACGGTGAACCATCAAGAAAGCGAAGCGTGAGAAGAGAAAGAAAGGCGAAGAGATAGATTGGGAAAAGGAGATAGGAGAACGAAAAGATCAAAGAAAAAATTCTAATGGATCAAGGTTAGTCTTCTTACTATGATTCATGTATTGGTGTATGTAAAATTGTGAAAATCAATAATCTAAAGATCCAGTAGTTTTCTATAATGAATTAAGAGCGTTAGGAAAACTACATAATGTCTTACATACCTTACCAACACTTCACCATCTTACTCAATTCGCTACTGCTTGTACCACTGATCATCACCATGTCGCCTTACAAATCTTAAGGTATCTGAAAGGTTCCTCTGGAAAAAAAAAATTGTTTGTTGTTGACAGTAGTCTTCAACTAAAAGCTTTTAGTGATGATGACTAGGCTGAATGTGTCAATACTCACTGCTCTATTATCGGTTACATTGTTTATCTTGGTCATTCTTCAATTTCCTGGAAATCGAAAAAAGTAACCTACAACTTCTAGAAGTCCGTCTGAAGCAGAATACAAAGCTCTTGCCTCTATCACATGTGAAGTCCAATGGCTCTCCCACCTTTTGGAAGATCCTCATGTTCCATACATAAAGTCATCTCTCTTATATTGTGACAATCAATTTGTTGTCCAGATTGCTTCAAACCAAGCTTTTCATGAGCATACAAAGCATATAGAAATTGACTACTACATTGTTAGACAAAAGGTTCATCAAGGCACCACCAAACTTTTGCATATAAGCTCCAAATTTCAGCAAGTATATCTTCTCATCAAAGCTTTACCGCCTTCAACCTTTCATATTCACATTTCCAAGCTTAGAATGTTTGATATCTACTCCTCAAAAATCCAAAATTATTGACTCTATAGATTAATTATAATCACTAATTTCCTCACGTCTAGACTCTCACTTAAGTGTTGGTTTTCTTCTCTTTTATACTTAAGCACCCTTGTTTTAGTTCAACGCTTCACAATCGTTTTACCAACTATATTTCTATTTCTGTTTTTATTTTTCTCTTTGCATATATCGTCTTTGGTGAATTTCTTGTAACACATTTTTTTTCTATAAAATTTAATAAAAGTCTCTTTCTTCTCCTTGATCCATGCAAATTTATTTCCTTCTCTTGTTTCGTATTCTCACCACTTTAGTTTCATTCCTATAAATTATAAATCATTACAAATAATTTAATATTTATAACATTTGCAGTTGAAAAATTATATTCTTTAGATAATATATATATATATATATATATATATAAAATATGTTCATATTAAATATATTTATAATTTTTAATGATTTTATATGATATATTTATTTTTATATTAACTTTTATATATTGGATCCTCATTTAATTTTTTTTTACTAAAATTATAAAAATTATAAAAAAATAGGTAGAAGTATAAATCACTCTGTTGTTCGTTTTGTGATTATTTATTAGGAAGAAAAAGTCAAATCATAAAGTAAATTAATAATGATAACAGATATGGATTCAAATTTCTTAGAAATAATAAAATAAGAAATATATTGATAAGAACTTTAAATTTTAATTTTAATATTTTTTATTTTTTAGTAGACCTGTGAAGTGGTAAGACGGACAAAGGATTGAAAAATATAACCAACCTGTCAAATTTTGTCGTTTGTGAAAATTTGCAAAATTGATCCACACAACAAATGATGCGAACCATTCATGTTATAAAGATGAAGAATAAATAAATAAATAAAAATAATGGATTTGATTTTCATCCTAATATAACAAATAGATTAATTTTCAAGTATTTTTAGTCAGACAATTATAAATTACAATCGTCACAAACAATGCTCGTTGAAATGACATATTGGAAAATCAACTAAACAGTCGATAGAACACTGGCATCTGAGTCTCTCTTCCTCCTCCGACTCACCTTGTAATGGAATCCCAAGCTTCCGTAGCACTGGTAGTCGGTGTTACCGGACTCACTGGGCTGAGCTTGGTCCAAGCCCTGAAACAGCCCAATTGTCCCGGAGGCCCGTGGAAAGTATACGGCGTAGCCCGCAGGCCCCCACCTAGTTGGTTCCCTTCTTCCATCATCGACCGCTTCATCACATTTGACGCTATCGACTCTTCCAACACACGCGCCAAGCTTTCCCCTATTGCATGTCAAGTCACACACCTTTTCTGGGTGACCTTTCAAATTCGTGCAGATGAAGAAGTTAACACGAGAGTCAACAAAACCATGCTCCTGAATGTTCTCACCGTCCTCAAATCTTCCGCGTCTTCAAAGCTGATCCATGTGACGCTCCAAACCGGCACCAAACACTACATGGGCCCAATTTTCGATCCGGCCCATTCCTCCCAACTCATCTCTCACGATCCACCCTTTCACGAGAACATGGCGAGGCTCCCTTACCCCAACTTCTACTACCCGCTCGAAGATCTCGTTCAATCCTACGCGCCGTCGCTGACGTACTCAGTCCACCGCTCCTCTATTATAATAGGCGCGTCGTCCAGGAGTGTACACAACACACTGCTCACGCTAGCAACCTAGGCCGTAATTTGTCGCCATGTGGGATTGGCGTTTCGGTACCCAGGAACGAGGTACACGTGGGAGCATTTCTGTGACATGACCGACGCCAAAGTGTTGGCGCAGCAACACGTGTGGGCTGCGGTTACCCCTGAGGCTAAAAACCAGGCATTCAATTGCACAAACGGCGACGTTTTTACGTGGAAGAGCATGTGGAAGTTTCTGTCTGAACTTTTCGATGTGGAATTTGTGGCGTTTGATGAAACGTTGGAGTTTGATTTGGTGGAGCTGATGCGTGACAAGGGTAGCGTTTGGGAGGAGATTGTGGAGAAACATGAACTTCACAACAACAAATTGGAGGAAATAGCGTGCTATGAAGCACTCCAAACAGTGCTACGTTTTAAGTTTCAACATGTGTCTAGCATGAACAAGAGTAGAGAATATGGGTTTTTGGGGCATGTTGATACGTTTAAGAGTATCAGATTTTGGGTGGAGAAACTGAGACAGATGAAAATCATACCATCATATGGATGATCTTCATATTTTCTAGGTTGCGTTTGTGTTAAGTTGGTTACTTTCTGCTTCAGGTTTTTAATCGCTTGATGTATATGATGTTTTAATCTTAGTCGTTAATTCTATTTTAATGTTAATATGCGGGTTACTATAATTTGTTCTATTTTTATTTACTATAGAAAACTAAACAAAATTTCACACACACCCTTCGTTATTTTGAAATGGAAATACAAATTGTTGTATGTATGACTTAAAAACGCGTTGCACTTTAATTAACAAACACTTATTTAAAATCTAAAAAACATAAATAAAAGTAATTAAGTATAGAGAAAATAGTCTAACAAGTATTATCTAATATTAAATAGATAATAATATTAAATAGATAATAATTTTATTGATCTTTTATTTGATAATTATTTTTAATTATGATATATTATGAAAGTACAATACAATAAACGAAAGAGATATTAAAAAGAATGAGAATTTTATAGAGAAATTTCGTCAAAAATTATCTTCTTTCTTTCTTAATTATTAGTTGTGGTTATATAACACTATACATGTACAATAGGTAAAGAGAATAAAATTTGTTAGACATGCTTCCAATATAACCAAATTCTATAAATACTTCGATTACATAATCCTTAAGGTAGATGGGTCTCCTTCAAATTTATTGGGGTCTTGCATCATTTTCTATTTCCTCTTGAACATTCTCTAGACTTGGTTATTTCACCATAATGGGTCTGTTAGTAGGAGTGGGTCTAACATCTCCTGCCTCTTCGACAATTACCTTGTCCTCAAGGTGAAATTGGGCAAGAATTTGTGCCCAAGGTTTCCAGGTGGCCTCTTCCAAAGGAAGATCCTGTCATTGAATCAAAACTAATTGTTGTGGGGCATTAGTGTCAGAGGACAGCTTCTAATCCAAAATAGCAGTGGGGTGAGGACTGGTCATTTGCTTTCATGTCAAGGGGAAGACGGAGTGGTTGAGGAGAAGGAAGGGGACTCTGATGAGGCCTGAAAAGACTCACATAGAATGTATTCTGGCAGTAGAAGGAAGCTCCAATTTGTAGGCCACATCACCTATCTTTTCAAGAACTAGATAGGGACCAAAGAACCTTTTCTGCAATTTGCCATGGTATTAACCAGTGAGAGAGTGTTGATGACGTGGGGCAAAACCTTACATAAACTAGTCACTGAATTTGAGGTGAACATCACCAATGGCGGATCTTCTTAGGAACTGAGGGGGGTCATGACCCCTCAAAGTTTTGTAATTCTTATATAATTTATGATTTTGGTCCCTCAAACTTAATGATCATTTAATATATTTACTTGTATATTTATAATTTTATCCTCTCAGTTTTGTAACTCTCGTATAATTTATGATTTTGTCCCCCCCAAACTTAATGATTATTTAATATATTTACTTATACATTTACAATTGTATCATCTTACTCATTCATCTTCTTTCACCATTTTATATTTATTTATTATTTTTTAATAATATATTATTTGTCCCACCCAAAATCAATGGTCAAGATCCGTCACTAAACATCACGTCGATGGGAATCTGCCCAGCATTTCATGGCATGTTGTGCTTTGAGAAGATTGGACTGCAATTTGCGAAGAATTTCATCGCAGGAACCTGTGTTGCAGCATTGGTAGTAGTCATATCCAAAGTTCGAGGGATGTTTGGTGATGGACAAAACAATGCAAATATTGTTGGAGGATCTTATTTGCAATCTCAGTTTGTCCATCCATTTTGAGGATGGTAAGTTGTGGACATACACAGCTTTGTCCCACTCAAACGAAAAAGTTTCCCCACCAAAAGTGACTGAGAAATATAGGATCTTGGTCTGAAATTAAACTCCAAGGAAGGCCATGTAATTTGCACACCAAATTAGTGAAGAGATCATCAACCTTAGTGGCGGTGAATAGTCGAAGCAACATACCAACATGTGCACCTTTAAAGAATCAATCCACCACAACCAATATAGTGGAGTGGCCCTGAAAAGGGGGATGAGAATCTTCGTTTGCTGGCAAGTGGTGCAATGAGCAACAACGGAGAGGACATCTTTCCACATAAAATCCCAATAAAAATTAGCCTTGATTTTAGTCAATGTACGAGTAGCCTCTGGGTGACCAGCTAAAGGGGTAGAGTGAAACTCTTGGAGGAGCAAGGGAATCATGGATTAAGACTTAGGTCCTATTCGACGGAAAAATCATGCAACATGGAAGGGTCCTTAAAATATGACTCTTAAAATTCAAGAAAGTAGCATCAGAAGCGAGGATGTGCTTAAGGTCTTGGAGAAAGTCCATTTGAGACACATAAATGAGCAAGAATGAGTATGCATCAAGTGAAACACGAAAAAGTGCATCAGCAACAATGTTTGTTTGACTAGGTTTAAAATATATCTCAAAGTCAAACCCCAATAGGTTGGCTACATAGGACTGTTGGTCAGGAGTTAGCACAGTCTGAGATAACAATTCCTTGATTGTCTGCTAATCAGTGTAGATGATGAAGTGGCAACCGAGCAAGTATTGGTTTCATTTCTAAATAATAGATGTGACAGCACAGAGTTATGTGATGTACGCTAATGAATTACGCAATTTAGAACAAAATTGTTTACTGAAAACAGCAATTGAGTGTCCCTGTTTTGATGAAATGGCCCACATACCAGAACCGGAGGCATCTGTCTAAATAGTGAAAACTAGATCAAACCGTGGCAAAGTCAAAACCAATGCAGGTGCAAAAGTAACAACGGTTTTTAAGGTTCTCAAAAGTCGTAGTAGCTGAAGCAGACCAGAGAAAGTAATCCTTCTTAAGTAAATTCGTTAAGACAAACGCAATAGAGGCATACCCTTTACAAATCAGTGGTAAACCCTCGTGAGTCCAAGAAAACCACGCAGAGACTTCAAAGTGGTGGGTAGGGGCCAATCGACGATAACTTGAACCTTTTAATGATCTTGTGTGACATCTTGTGACGAGACTTCATGACCCAAATATTGGATCGAGTGTTGCCCTATGAAACACTTGGAACCCTTAAGACAAAAATTATTCGCAAGGAGAAATTTGAAGGTTGTTTCCAAGTGAGAGATGTGATCCTCCAAGGTAGGGTTGTAGACAAGAATATCATCAAAAAAGACGATAATAAAACAACGTAAATGAGGGTGGAACAGATCATTCATGGTAACTTGAAAGGTAGAAGGTACATTGCACAACCCAAAGGGCATGACCTTAAACTCGAAGTGGTCATTGTGGGTACAGAACATTGTTTTAGGAGAATCATTAGGCAGCATGAGAATTTGATGGAAACCCGCGAAGAGGTCCAATTTTGAAAATCATGTAGCATTGTCAAGTTCATCCAAAATTTCATCGGTAGTAGGAATAAAAAAAAAATTAACGATAACGGCATTGAGAGCACGGTAATCGACGCAAAAATCGTCATGTACCATCCTTCTTCTTGACAAGAAGAACAGGGGAAGAATATGGACTTGTGCTTACTGTAATGAATCCCGAGTGCAACATTTTTTAAACTTGAGCCTCAATTTCTTACTTTTGAAAGTGTGGGTATCAGTAAGGACGAAATGGGAGCAGTGTTGGGTAAAAGGGTGATGGAATGGTCAGTGTGACGGGACGAGAGAAGGGTGGTTAGTGGTGAAAACAGAGCAAAATAGGTGGTGAGTAAGTGTTGTAGTTAAGGGAGAGAAGAATAAGGGATATCGGTATCAAAGGGCAAGAGAGGTATAGGTGAAGTGAGGAAATGGATGGATGGAGAGGGCTCAAGTGTGAGTTGAAAGAGGGCTTCTACTCTATTAGTTTGTTATAGGCATTTAAGTTTTAGGGTTATTATAGATGTAGGGTTTGGGCCTTGTTCCCTCTTGAGTTCGATCATCTTATTCTCCCACATAAATCTCATGAAAGGTCCATTGTAGTTTATAATGAATGGGCTAACTTGAGTAAGCCATTGGACCCCTAAGACTATATCAGTGCCAGATAGACCTAAAGGGTATAAGTCAATAGGAAATTCGAGAGAGGCTATGATAATGTGGGCCTTGGGGCAGAAAATACTGCAAGGTAAAAATTCCCCATTCTCAACCATAACTCGTAGTGGGCTAGGGGTGGGCTCAAGTGCTAGGTTAAGAAAATGGACTACCTTTGTCTGAATGAAGTTAAGTGTTGCACCACTGTCAATATGCATAACTGTTAATAGAATCCGTGACTCGAAAGTTTTTGGAGGTCCAATGACCCGAAAAAGAGTGGAGGTTGATCAACCCTGCTTCCAAAGATGGGTTATCTGGTGGGTCACCATCCAAGTCTGTGAGTGGTTTGAAAACATCGTCAAGGTCAATAATGATGAGCAAGAGAAACTGTGACTTATAATGTCACATGTATACTTTTCATCACAATTATAACAAAGGTTCTTATCACGACGCACCTACATTTCTTTGATGGGTAGTTTAGAGGGAGGTGTGGGAAGTAGTGGTGGGAGTGGTTTGGGAAATTTGTGGAAGGGCAAAGGAGATGAAAAGGACGAGCAGAGGTGTGTTGATGAGGGGAAGGTGATACAAAGAGTTTGAATTCCAAAAAGAAAGGGCGAGCGGCTATATCATGTAATGTGTTTAAGAAATTGGCTTAAGAAAGAATGATTTGCTCAAATTTTGTGTCAAGGGAAGAAAAGGCGTCAGAAAGGTCATAGGAGAAAAAGGCTTAATGAAAAGATAACACATCAAACAGAAAGGGATAATAAAAAAAATGAAAATAATATCCAGGAATTTCACCAAAAATTATTCCCCTCCTTTCTTAATCATTAATTATACTTATATAACAACATATATACAACGTGCAAAATAGAAATAAATTTTGTTAGACATGTTCTCTGTTACCTAACCAAATTCTACACGTAATTATTTGATTACATGATCTTAAGGTAAATGGGTCTCCTTTAAATTCATTAGGATCTTGCTTCATTTTGTATTTTCTCTTGCATATTATGTGGACTTGACTATTCTACTAATGAGCCCCTTAGTAGAATTGGCCTAACATACTAACAGTGAAACCTTGATGCTTTTGAGATAATTGTGAAGGATCCTCCGTTACCAATGGTACTTGACGTCACCAGCACATATTTTTCTTGCAACCCGTTCATCCTCTATCTATCTAAAAAACAATAAAAAAAAATAATATTATCTTTATTGTAAAATAATTTTTGGATTTTTTTTACAAAATTTTTGTGTTAGTATTTCCAAAATAGATTTCGAAATTGTTCTAAAAATATCCAAAAATTGTTTCTAGAACTTAAAAAAAAAAGTTAATGTAAAATAAAATTCAATCCAAGTAAATCTAAAATTTAAATCATATATATAAAAAATTATTTTAGGATTTAATTTTTTTAGAAACTTTTTTAAATTCTAAAATTATATTTCATATTTCATGATTCATAACTTAAGAAAATATATTTTTGAATCCATTCTTTTAATTTATTTATTTTTTGAATTTTTCAATTCAAAATATACTTCAAAATTCCTTCTTGCATAAATTTACAAGGGCGATATTATCTTGTGAAATAAATATAAGAGTACATGTATATCCTGTAACAGGCTCGTTGGGCGGAGTGTAGCCCAAGCTCTGAAGCAGCCCGATTGTCGCGGAGGCCCATGGAAAGTTTACGCCCTTATGCTTTCCACCTTCCACTATCGATATAATAACACAAGTATGAAAACATGCGAGAAATAAAACAACTATCATTTCTCTAATAATATAAAACCGTCAGTTACATTTAATTAATTTAAAAGTAAGGAATATTATAATATATATTTTTAATGATAGAATTTTACAATAAAAAATAAATAAGGACAATTAAAAAAGTATATCATATTATACATATGAAGCATTGTCTCCACATGCTTTAATATCATAAACGAAAAAACAATACATGAAAAATAAGAAAACCACGAGAAACGTGCAATTAAAAGAATAAAAAATAAAAAATAGAAAGATAGTGATCATGATCTTCTAATCTCGTATATTTCAAATCTAGATTAAGCCAATTGTTTCTAAAAATAAGTAACTTGTTTCTTGTTATAGAATATTAAAAAAACAACAACAACTTAGATTAGATCCAAGTTTACCAAATTATATTAGACTATGTTCACTTGATTATTATTATTATTATTTTAATCACACCAACTTACCTTTTTTTAAAATTTAGGTTTGAATTCAAAGAAAAAAAAAGTGATGTTTGAATTAATAAAATGAACAAAGGAATGGAATAAAATATGTTTTTTAAGACAAAGACATGATGGTCAAAGATGGAAAATATTAAAAAAGAAAAAGAAGAAGAAGAAGGCATATAGTCGGCTTTTGCAGCTAGAGTTTATCGTTAATATGTTGGAAATCATTATTTAATCTGTGTGTTGGAATTAGATCTACCTACCCCTAATCAAGACGTTCTTATTAATAAAAAAAAGTTATATATTAATGGTGATATTAGGTGTGTTAAGTTTAATATATTTTACCTTTATATATTTTAAATATGAGTATTGCATTACAACTCATCATTCATTAGCATAGATTATATTTGAGAAATTTTGGATTCTCCTCTTGCTTTCTCAAAATATCGTTTGTAAGAAGGTCATCCACGTCCGAGACAGAACAGGGTGCTCTATTATAAATTTGTTTGAATCTAGTATTTGATCTTGTACGTAATTATAAATCTAAAACTACGTTGGTAATCTAGTTTATCAGTAATTTTAATTATACTGAAAAAATATCGAAAAAAAACACTAAATTAGTATGTTTAGATTCGGAATCTCTCCGGTTATGTTATCTCTTTAGTAGTAATTTCAATATTAATAATTATTATATTTAATAGTTATTAAAATTTAAAATTTTAATAAATTAATTATTCCATCACTTTAAAATTAAGTAAATTCAAAGTAAGTGGGCTCACCTTACACGTTAACCTCGGACAATAGCTGCCACTTTATTATTATCTTATAATTACTATTTAAAATTAATTTTAATATGGAAACTCATCTAAAAATACATTTATTCAAACGAAAAATCACGACAGCTTTATTAGAAAAAAAATTGTGTTTAACGATTTTATTTCCTGCAGATAAAAAAAATGGAATTCACAGTCACAGAGCTCGAACCCTAAGAGGATACTATTCTGATCAATTGAACTACAATTTAAAAAAATGTACAACATGAATATTTTTAAGGACCATAACCCATTTTTCTTTTCTATTTTAAATTCAAATTATTTTGTTGTAAATAAAATATATTTTTTCTAAATTTTCTATTTGCACATCTTGATATAAATACTTGCGAAAGAAAATATGTAAAACAGAAAAAAAAACATTTAATGTTTTAATTATTTTTTTAGAATGTCATATTTATACATACATACTTAATAATATTTATTGTATCATATTTATTTTTTATATGTTTTTTATCTCTATTACTGTTATTATTATTATTATTATTATTATTATTATTATTATTATTATTATTATTATTATATTTTTCTCTCCGTTATATATATTTTTTATTTCTCTTTCTCTTTAAATATTTGTTTACAGAAAACCTAAAAATAAAAATAAATTTATTTTTTCAAATATTATACTTCAAAATAATTTAAAACATATTTATTTTGAATATTAATATCATTTAACAATAAAATATATATTTTAAATAACAAATACACACGTTAAACTTACATCTCTCAATTTTTGTATTTATTATATTTAATATATTTAACAGAAATATTCTTGTAATTAATTAATCTTAATGTATATTATAATAATAATAATAATAATAATATATAATTAATTTATCTGATTGTTTTATTATACATAATATTTCAGTTAAAAAATTATTATTACCATCAAGAAAACTGGTCTAATTTACACTAATAAAAGGTTTATAAATATAACATTATACTCTTAATTGCACCTCATTATTATTGAGAGACTCTATTATGTTTATTATCATTCAAATTCATCTACTTGAATTCATTGATCACGTCTTATAAGCTTATTGAACATTGTAATTTTTTTTAACATACGCAACACAGACAATATTCAGTGATGATACGATGGTATAATTTTCATCTGTCTCAGCTTCTCCACCCAAAATCTGATACTCTTGAACGTATCAACGTGCCCCAAAAACCCATATTCCCTACTCTTGTTCATGCTAGACACATGTTGAAACTTAAACCGAAGCACTGTTTGGAGTGCTTCATAGCACGTTATTTCCTCCAATTTGGTGCTGTGAAGCTCATGTTTCTCCACAATCGCCTCCCAAACGCTACCCTTGTCACGCATCAGCTCCACCAAATCAAACTCCAGCGTTTCATTAAACGCCACGAATTCCACATCGAAAAGTTCAGACAGAAACTTCCACATGCTCTTCCACGTAAAAACGTCGCCGTTTGTGCAATTGAATGCCTGGTTTTTAGCCTCCGGGGTAACCGCAGCCCACACGTGTTGCTGCGCCAACACTCCGGCGTCGGTCATGTCACAGAAATGCTCCCACGTGTACTTCGTCCCCGGATACCGAAACGCCAATCCTACGTGCCGACAAATTGCGGCGTAGGTAGCTAGGGTTACCAGCGAGTTGTATATACTCCTGCACGACGCCCCTACTATAATAGAGGAGCGGTGGACTGAGTACGTCAGCGACGGCGCGTAGGACTGAACGAGATCTTCGAGCGCGTAATAGAAGTTGGGGTAAGGGAGCCGCGCCATGTTCTCGTGAAAGGGTGGATCGTGGGAGATGAGTTGGGTGGAATGGACCGGATCGAAAATTGGCCCCATGTAGTGTTTGGTGCCGGTCTGAAGCGTTACATGGGTCAGCTTTGAAGACGTGGAAGATTTCAGGGCGGTGAGAACATTGAGGAGCATGGTTTCATTGACAATGATGGTGGCTTCTTCGTCTTGTCGAACCTGCAAGCTGATCCAGAAAAGGTGTGTGACTTCATGCGCAATAGGGGAGAGTTTGACTTGTGTGTCGGAACTGTCGACAGCGTCAAAGGTGATGAAGTGGTCAACGACGGTAGAAGGGAACCAAATGGGCTGAGACCTGCGGGCCGCACCGTAAACTTTCCATGGGCCTCCAGGACAATTGGGTTTCTTGAGGGCCTGGGCTAGACTCAGCCCAGCCATGCCAGTGACACCAACTATCAGTGCTACGAAAGCTTGGGGTTCCATTGCAGTTGTTCTCCACACCGGGAAGCAATAACTGTTACACCTGACACATATTTACGTATAATTTGCATATTTTAAACAACTTTTCTTAACCGTATTCATCACTCTTTGAATGTTTCATTTAAATATTTGAATATCTTTTCGTGTAACTTTTTTTTCCATATATTTATTCTTCATTATTTAAGTTTTCGATTTTTAATTTTATCAATGTTCTTTATTTTTAATTAATCGATTCTCAATTTGTCGATGATATGTCTTTTTTTGAAAAACTCAACATTAACTATTTTTTCTATCTCGATATATCTTTCTCGATTTTTGGGTTCAATTTATTTTTTTACTCTTTTTATAACTTTTAATATGAAGAATATTAATATATATTATAATAAAGATAAAATAAGTGTAAAAATATAATATCGAGGTTGAAGTCTCAAATAATTTAAACTTAACAACATTCGCTAATATGTCTTTGTGATTGACATTTTTAATTTTTAAAATTGGAAAACCCTTACCTTTACATATTTTATCATATTTTATTTCAAAATTTCTATTATTATGATTTTGACATGTATGTGAATAAAACTCAATAACTCTTCTACAATGTACTGCTATAATAGAAGTTTTTGCTTGCATTTATTATTCACATATCATTTTAAGATCTTCATCATGCATCTCTCAATATAATACATCTAACCAAATGGGCAATCGAATCCACAATGATATCAAAACAAAACATGAAAAAAAAAATATATTTTCAACTAGCATAAGATTATCATTGTTTCATTTTCCAAACTCATTTAACTTTTAAGAATTAATTACTTTTTTACAAATGACATTGAAAAACAAACAGAATTGAGTAATAGTAACTCTAATATAAACTGATAAGATTTTTCGAATATTTAAAGATAAAAGTTATTATCCTAACCCATAACAATAAAAAGACTTTAAATTAATTAATTTCAACTATACACATCAAATTTTTAACATTTAAAAAATATCCTTATAATACTTTCACCTTATATAAATACTTATTTTTTTTCCTTAATAAAAAATGAGAAGTTGGAAATAACGTATTAAATTGAACAAGTATTTGTCAGAGTGATTAATCAAACTTCCCTTGATATATTAATTATTTATTATAAAAATTAATTATACTTCGTATATATATATATATATATATATATGTTTTGAGATAATTATATGACTTTAGAAAAAAATATAAAATTCATACCTCTTTGGTGGCAAGGTCTCGTTGGATTGTTGATTGACTGAGGCAACCACTTGCTGTTTAGATTCATATCCATATTCTTGGAGAATGATGATAAGTTTATTGTTTATAAATATATTATATTTTGAGATCATATGGAAGAATTTGTGTTCAATAAAAATTAAAATACCTTGCACAATGCCCAGTCAGCTGAATCAAAGAATGCTCTTCACTATCCTTATAAGTTTTAACCCACAAAATTAAAAATAAAATAAAATTATAATAGAACAAATTTGATTAAAATTTTGATAATGGGACTTAACTTACTTTGGATATCAAAGGCTTCTTTGGCCCAACTCCACCATATTTCTTTCCTGTGACTTTTCCTTGCTATTGAATTCTTTTTTTTTTTTTTTAATATAATGTTAAATATAAAAAATAAATATAGTCGTATTATCATATATCTATCTTTACCAAATCAAAAGTGATAACACACAATTATAACTAGCCATTTTGATAACTTATCTCTCTCCATGAGAAAAAGAAAAAAATCTCAAACCCTAATATATTTCTGAAGAGTCACATAGTAAAATTCATGTTTTCATGTTTTTTTTCGTGGAAAAAAATGCTTTATAGGAATAATATATCTGAATCTATCACAAATACAGAAATATATATAAGTCATATAAATAAATAATTAATTGATCGTGCTCTTAAATTAAAAAAAGAAAAAAAGAAAGAGAGTATCTTTTAAAGAAAAACAAGATACCAACTATACCAGTTGAATAATAATAATAATAATAATAATAATAATAATAATAAAATAATAGTAATAATAATAATAATGCTTAATAAATTTATGGAATTTTTTTATTACTTTTTAATAAAATCCTAATATCCATCGGTAAATCCATCGATAAATTAACAATATATCCGTCGGTAAATTTATGTGTAAATTAACAATTATTTACCGACGGATATTTATGTCGATAAATTAATAATTAGTTACCGACTGAATATATCCGTCAGTAAAATTATATAATAATTACTTAATATAATTTAATTATTCACCTAATTAGAAAATAAAATATTTTTTATTTAATAATTTAATTTAATCATAGTTAAATTAATTTATAATAATTTATTAAATAAAATAATTTTAAAAAATAAATATTTAATTATATATAAATATATAAATATATTTGTATATTTGTATATAAATATAATTTATTTGTAAATTATTATCAAAAAAATTTAGTAGCTTAGTGGTTACAGTATCAACCTTTAATTCTAAGGTACCGGCCTATAAAGGGGAGGGGTTCTATAAAAAAAATACTATAAATAAGTAAAATATTTAATAAATAATAAAATTATTACTTGACGTATTCCTGTCCAGTCGATAATTTACGTAAAATATTTACCAACAAATTTTGACCGTCGATAATTTTTATATTTCTTATAATGTATATAGAAAAAAAGAATTCATTTTAAATTCAATTAAATTTTATTTATATTAAAATTATAAGAAAAATATATTATAAATACTAACAACAAACTTTGCAGGAAGAAGAGAATGTTAGATTACATTAACGATAGGGTACTATATTTATTATATAGTCTATTAAATGATTTTATATTTTTTATAGAATAATTTGTTTTTTTTTAAGTAATGAATAGAAAACACTGATAAAGGATTATTTCTGACATTCTTATAAAAATATAACAAATATTCTTTTATAAATACATATAGTTTTATGGTTGAAACAATATGTTTGTTTGTATGTCACCCTTATTTATTTTATAAGAAAATAATCCTTAGCAATTTCTATATTTAAATAAATACATATCTTTTCTCAGTAATTATTTTTTATTTTCTTAAAACATACATTTTTACAAAATATCATAAATAAAAAATCAAATAATATATATATATATATATATATATATATATATTAGTTTTTTCATTTAATTAAAATATCATAAATAATACCTTTTATATATAATAACTATTTTAAGAATTACTAGTAATTCACATTGTATTTTGGGAAGGTATTGTCCCTCTCGTAATACGATTTTCTAGCATAACATCATGACTGATAGAACCATACAGAAAAAGAACCTATTAATCAGAAGATCCACAACTCATAGAGTCTCATTCCAGGAAAACATCAAATAATTTGTTGATTATTCAAGGATATAAAATTATTTATATTTTAAATATGATGACAAAATATTAATTAATTTTTGTGTTTATGAAATTATAGATATTCATTTATATAAGCTTCAATAATCCGCATGTTGGCGAAAATTTGTTGAAAGAAATTTTTTTCAGACTCTTCTAACGGGTGTGGTATATAGTAAAAGGCACGTAGAAAAAAATAAAACACCGAGGTTTTTCAAGTTCACTAATTTAAACAAAAAAAATTATATTGTCTTATCTTCCGCATAACTGGCATAAATTAATGGTTCGTAGTTATTTTGACCAAACCAACACACAGAAAGAAACAAAGTCCAATCTTCAGGAGTTATTGTATAGTTTGGGTTGGCTCTAGAAAAAACCGAGCAAACTAAAATAAATTTTTAATTATTCTTAGTCTTTTAAGTTTAATTTAACTATTAATATATATTCTGAAAAATATAAATAAATTATTATTACAAAAATATTTAATTGCAAATATTCAATTTGTAAGCATAATTATTAGATTTGTCATTGCCTAAATCTTATTATCGTCAGTGTGTCCAACCTTAATCTAGGCACTTATGTAATCTGTGCTTTCCATATGTCGAGTTTCAATGAGTGTCTGACTAAAATGAATGATGACATACCCAATATGGATAACCAAGCCCAATAATAAATAATCGCCGAGATCCTGGACTACTGCTTCGTCAATTTTAAGGAACTTGAATCTTGGAGTTTGTGAAAGACCTTTTTTGAGCATCATCGCCGCCTCAAATTGCATCACACAATGGAGCAAAATACATGTTATAAATTATTATTGAAGCAAAAATGGATTTATTGACTTTAAAATACATGATTGACACTGTGTTATTCAGGTACAAATAAAAGCTTCTGCTATATATAAATATTATTGTTGTTATTGTAGGTGATAACTTAGGTTCACGAGCATGCAGCATCCTAATCACTAATTGCAACAACAAACAACTAGCATCTTCCTTCGTCATGATCATTTATAACTTGCTCATCTTAACAGGTCCCATCTCTTTTGCCTTTGCCCTTAGCAAATGCTTCTGTATCTTCCCAGTAGCTGTCTTAGGTAAGGGTCCAAACACAACTGATTTTGGAATCCAATAAGAAGGCATCTTGGCCTTGCAGAACTTCAGTATATCCTCAGTTAAACGTTGCTCATTACTTTTATCCACTCCTGGCTTCAATGTCACAAAAGCACAAGGAGACTCACCCCATTTCTCATCTGCCCTTGCAACAACTGCTGCTTCCAGTATTGCAGGATGCGAGTAAAGAGCGTTCTCTACCTCCACACTGCTGATATTTTCAGCACCAGAGATTATGATGTCCTTTGATCTGTCTTTAATTTCTATATATCCATCTGGATGCTTCACAGCAAGATCCCCGGAATGAAACCATCCATTTGCGAAGGTCTCCTCATTAGCTTTAGGGTTCTTTAAGTAGCCTTTCATCACACAGTTGCCCCGCATCACAATCTCACCTACAGTTTTACCATCAGCAGGAACAGGTTGCATGGATTTTGTGTTCACTACTTCCAGGCCTTCCAAGCCAATGTACCTAACCCCTTGTCTTGCGTTGAGCTGGGCTTGCTTTTCAGGAGGAAGTGATTCCCATTCTGGTTTCCAGGCACAGTACACAGAGGGGCCATAGGTTTCAGAGAGACCGTAAGTGTGTGTGACACGAAATCCACGTTCAGACATGCCAGAAAGAACAGAAGGAGGAGGAGCAGCCCCAGCTGTATTCACATGCACAACATGAGGGAGAGGAAGTATGGTTTCCTCAGGTGGGGCATTGATTATTGTGTTAAGAACCACTGGTGCTGCACAAAAATGAGTCACTTTATACTTGGCAATGGCTTTGTAAACTTCCTTCGCTGTTACCTGAGAAAACATACGGCAAAAAAGTCTATAACAATCAACTATCTAGTAAACAATTGTAAACAACAGAACTGGTTAACTTGACAGCAGTGTATCTCAACATATTCTGGTCAAAGAACCCTGTTTTCCAAAAGCCACATTCACATTGTCTTCAAGTGCCCATTGATTCACTTAAGTGGGCAAAACGCCCTTACTGCGTATTATTTTCTTTCATAAAACTCAAAATCGAGCTCTTGCTTTAACCAAGCTTCTTGCCTTGTGATGGTTTTCTTATTGCATATTAGCTTCAAACAGAGAACAGAAAACGTATCATTTCATTTAGACTAAAACCCGCTGCGAAATTCTGGTAAGTAGTAGAATTTTCTAATAATATTTGAAGTAACTATAAAGATCTACTGTGTAGGAATAGAAGGATACAATTTAACTACTAGTAAATATATACAATATTACGAAGCGACTTCCATGGGCGGTGGATGACCGCACATTAATTTACATTGTCACTTCAAATGTAAGCAAGAAATCAATCATGTATCAACTTTCCCCAAAGCATTTACCACACGGCATCTCACTTTTATCCTAAAAGCGACTTACTAGCCTCATCTATATTCTATATCCTCGCCAATTCTCAACCAATCTAGTAATTCTTTTCTCTGTAAAGCTTGCCTATATACATTAATTACCCCCATTTTTCTAAGAGCTACGTTTGTGTCACGTTCGTTTCTCAACCAGGAGGAGATATAATATGCTACTATTTCCAAAAGCACGTACAGAATGTTACTCAATTCAATAGAGATAACAAGTGAACACCAATTTGTTTCAACTTTCAATCACTCGAACAAATGCAGAACTTTGGTCAAAAGTTTACCTGGCGAAGGCATATGTTTGTACCACACATAGCTGCAAGTGTCCATGTGTAACACCAACCATTGCAATGAAACATGGGGAGTGTCCAAAGATACACGGCACCTTCAGTCATTCCCCAGATAAGAGCTCCACTCAGAGACATTAGATAGGCTCCACGATGATGTAATACCACACCCTTGGGACTAGCAGTGGTACCGGATGTATAACCCAAAGCAATACTCTGCCACTCATCCTCAGGAGGTTTCCATGCATATTCAGGATCACCACTCTGAAGAAAATCCTCATATTCAATGGCTCCTTTGCCCACAGCATATTTAAGCGACTTGGGGTCGCAATTTTCATCACCGATGACTATTAAAAGTGGAGGGCTGAAGGTTTTGGCTTTCTCACACCATATTTTCAAAGCTTCTTCTGCCAAAGAAAAGGACTCTTGATCAACTATTACAGCTGCAGCTGTGCAATGACCAAGAAGAAAAGCTACAGTGGATGCATTTAGCCTAATATTAACAGGATTCAACACAGCCCCTGCCATTGGAATTCCAAAATGAGCTTCATAAAGAGCTGGAATATTGGGTGCAATAACAGCTACCTGTTGAGAACAGAATCAGAAAATTATATAATACATTAGCATTACATCACCAGAACACAGAATTGGGCCAAAATAACAAAACTGAATTGAACCAATGCATGAACACACTATACAACAACAAAACTACATTGATATCGTTGTGATTGAGTAGTTTGGGTTTTATACCTATAAATAACTTCAAGAGCTAAATCCAAACTATAAGCACATAGATTCAATTGCCAACCAAAGTATGTTATGTTTTAATAGAGAAATTTAAAATTAAAACATTTAGAAGTTTTTTAAACATTTGATTAGCAGATAAAAATAATTTATAACAAAACAATCAATTAGCTAGTATCTCATTAAATATTCATGCATCGGTGGATTGACACTTTATCCCTGTTAGAAAAAATTTTAAAATGATATTAAAATTGACATTGCCGATTAACCTTTTATGTAATCAATTAACTTAGCTACCAGGCAGAGTTAGTTCGTAACAATAACTAATTATAATTTGATGATTATCGTTAATCTGTTTGTTAAACTTGACAAATAAAGTGTACGTTAGAATAAAAAAAATGGTAATTGTCAGGTTACAGGACTGTTTTTCATTTTCAGTTTAATTTTCATGTCCGTTCAATTAATTAAAAATTGTTATTACCAAAACAAATAATTACAAATATCGCATATATAACTTTTAAAATAATGATCATAAATCTCAATTAACATCATATAACTAATTCCCGCACTTTTTTCTTGATAAAAAGATTTAAAAAAAAAAAAGTGCTGCTTTTTAATAATAATAAAAAGTTAGGATATTAAAGTGATATTTTTGGAAAAACATTTAAACGCAAATAAAGTGAGACGTGGTCACGTGAAGAAGAACTATAACAATTTACATATTGACAAAGAAAGTAGGAGAAAAGACGTTTCAGAGCGAACAATCTAAGACCGAAGTGAGCAAAGAGAAGAGTAACGATGCTTGCGTTCTTCTCTCGGAACAAAGTCATATAGAATTAGTAATTTAGGAGAGAGAGAGAGAGAGAGAGAGAGAGAGAGAGAAGTACAGTGTTTCCTGAACCGATGGAATGGTTGGAAAGGGCGGAGGCAAATCGACGGCAACGGTGATAGGTCTGGTGCCAGGTGTAGCGACGAGATCCATGGATGAGGGAGTTTCTAGTGGGGTGCACCGTAGCTGCTCTTTCCAGAAACCACAACGGCGTTAACGCTGTGTAGTTGGCAGCGTTCTTGGGCAACTGGTCGATGTCCATCTCCACCACCCTTTCGCGCTTTCTCCACACCGCAACGCAACCTCACGCTCCCAAAACCAAACAAAACCAAAATAAATATGAAATGAATGCCACATGCTACCTCCCCTATTACCTCCTTATATGCTTTGTTTTTCCTTTTTTCATTAAATACTAACTAGAACAAATCATACTAATGGTTGAATTTTAGTATAAATATATATATATATATATATATATATATATATATATATAATACTGATAAAATAAATAACAATAAATAATAATAATGATTTCAGTTTTTATTTTTTATATTTTTCAGTCATTATATTCTTAAATTGATTAATTTAATTTTTCAAAATATATTATTTTAATGGTTTTATACTTAAATTAAATATTAAATAATATTGTTTATCGTCATAACATTTATAGAATGATTAAATTTATGAAACATTTAATTTTCATATATTTTATACTTAAATTTATAATATTTAATAATTATTTTTTCATAAATTAATAACAAAATCAATTATATATATAAAAACTATTTAACTCAAATAATTACTCATGCCCCTTCAATCTTACTCTTTTTATCTTAAAAAAAATCATCATCTTCTAAATCATTTTATACTCGAAAGAGGAAGGTAATCAACCTCAATAGTGAATTGATAAATTTAATTTATTAATTTATTTTGATTTATTTCGTTTAATCTTTCAATTCCATGGAATAAGGGTGAGAGAACTGAGTCATTTAAAAAAAAAAATATATATATATATATATATATACATGTTAATATTAAAATTAAAAATATATAATTAAAAATATTATATTTTTAATATATATATTTCAGTATATAAATATATTATAATATTATAATTTTAAAAAATAATAAAATAAAATAAACTATTAATTAAAATAGAGTATTTAAATGTATAAATATAATAATTTGTTAATTTATCTAATAAAATATATTAATTAATAGAAATAAACTTTAAAAACATTTAATTAAAAGAATTGTATATTTTTTATGTTAAAAATAAAATAATAACAGTCGGATTCATTAGTCGACCATTTCACCTTCCCATTAACATATCAAAATTTGTAGTCTGTAATGATTATAGATCTCTTTTTTTACATGCCAACAATACAAAGTTTTGAGTCACCTAACATTAAAAATATTTTTAAATATATTATTAAGTATTTGAAAAAAATAAACTCCTAACAAATATATTTAAAAAGTGATTAATAATGGTTATCGAAGTCAACGTTTAGCTACAAGTGGTAATCTATTCTGAACATAGCAATGCCAACTCACTATATAAGATGTTTATCTTCCCAAATAACACTTCTTTTTTAAGTATATTATCACTCTGAAATAAATAGAAACAGACACAAACTTAATTTCAAAAAAAAGAAAAAAAAAAAAATATATATATATATATATATATATATATATATAATTTAGTTAATATCACATGATCGACTATATAATATTTGCTAGAAAAACAATATTTATTTTTACAAATTATTTAAGATACACTCAAATGGTTGTTTTTTATTTTTATTAAAAGATTTAGATATACCTCTCTTTCATTGATATTTTTAACGATATCAAATACATTAGAAAGTGGATTTTTTTAATCAGTTTTATCAATATTACTTTTATGATTGATCAAATCATTGCCATGCTTCTGTTTCTAAATAATAATTTACAAGTCTAAAATAAATGAAACGGTATACTAATTTTAGTGGCAGATCTCCATTATTTATAAGAATACAAAATTTTGTAACCTTTGTATATTTGATATTCTCAATTTAATGATTGTTAAACATGTTTATTTATATATTTATAATTTTGATTTTAAATTTAATATTTAAAAAATATATTTATTGATGTATTTATAATTTTTATTTTTATTTAATATTTTTTAATAAATATTTAAACAAATTCTTAATATATATATATATATATTAAATAAATATATATTTTATATTCTCACAATTTTATATTTTTTAATTTTTTTATATTCTTTTAGTATTTGTTAACAAAATATTATTTTATAATAAAAATTTATTCATCAATATTCCCTCGGATTAATTTAATTAAATCATATTATAAAACAATAATCATTATAAAAAACTTAATGTTAGTAACGAAGAAATATATAGTATATTTTAATTAGCTATCTCTTAATTGGTTTTTCTACAAAGCACTAATATTTTGCTCAGATTAAATTAATATTATTTTGTTCATTTATTTGTTTTTAAAATGTTTGGTCCTGTGCTTCTCACGAGCCATGACCATGCGTTTGCTTCTTCTTTGTTTGGAGGCGTAGAAGAAGGTGGAATATCACTTCTACAAAATTAAATAGTTAACAATTATCTTCGACTTTCTTTTTCTACGTCACACACGCATCTTTCATTCAATCTTCACCTTCTCCAATTCACACAAACAAATCTTGGAAATGTTCAAATTCCATGAAAACTTTTCATTTTTTATTTGTCAGGTTTCAGATTTGTTAAGTAGATGTTTCCACGACGAAACATAATATACAAAATGAAATATATTGATGCTTAAAACACGTGTTACACACACCACGTTCACTGAGTAAAGATGGGTATCAAAATGAATAATTTAACAAATACAACTATTTATTAACACAACGTTTCAGAATAAATAAAAAATGTAATTATATTAAATTCAATTCAATTCAAACACCAACAACACTATTAATAAATGGAATAAATTTGATGTAACGTTAAACAAATAAAAGTTACAATGTTATTAGACTAATCTCCTTAATTATTTAATTTATGTTGTCTAGAAAATTATTGACTTCTTAACAATTTGACTATTTCATATTTTGTCACTTTATATACTAATGTAACTTTTAAAAGATATATAGAGAGAGAATATATATAGTAAAATAATTCTTACATGACGTGTTTGTATCTTTGCTTATACTAACTGTGCATGTTGCGCATGAAAAACTGTTAAGCCATATACATGTCTACAACAAAATTCTATCAACTCTCGTTTTTTTTTTTATTGTTTTATTGATCTAATCTTTGAAAATAAAATGAATTTATTATTATTTTTATAAGAAAATAGTAAAAATTTAGAATCATAATTATTCCTCCCACGTTACCAAAATATAACAATAATAATAATAATTAATAGATGTATCCATAGTATATCTATAATATTATTTAATATAATCACTTAAGAGAAGTTTACAAATATATTTTAAAGATAGAAATATCGAATTGAATAATAATAACAAAATCTATAAAAATAAAATAAAATAACATGTGTGTTTGATAACATTGAAGGACGAAAATGCTTAACGAGACCTCATTAATTGTATACACATGCATTTGGTTCCACCTCCATGAACCAAGCAAATGACCAGCAAAAATAAAGCAGTTATTTTCACAACGCAACACAAAAAAACAAAAACATAAAAACAAAAAACCTACTCTGTTGGATTCAGACTACAATAGTTGGATTTGTTTTTTTAATTTGATGGCTTAAATTAATTTTTATTTATTCTTTATTCATACTCTTTTTCTTATCTTTCCCAAATTACCCTTTCCTCTTCCTCCATCATGAACACCATGCCATGGTTCTCTCCAAAACAGTATGCATCAAATCAGATTATTTCAACTACTTTAACATTGTTTATCATACTAATGATATTTTTTAAACTATTAAAATTAGAAAGTTATATGGTTGGTGTCAAATATCTATAATCGGAAACGGTAGACTGAGTAGGGCCCAATATTTGGGCAGGAAGCAAAGGCCCAGTGGTGTGGTTACTTTAAATCCTAGATGGTTTCTGCCCCAAAATGACGATGATTTAAAAGTAATATTTTTAACATCTCAAAATAATTTTAACCATTTCGACAATAATTATTGAATTTTTTACATATAATTATTATTTAATAATAATATATATATATATATATATATATATATATATATTACATATCATTACTATTTTTTCTTTACAAAACTCCATCTTTTAAGCATAAGTTTAATGGTTATGCAACATTAGTTAAGATTTTGTATACCATGATATTATTGTTATTATTTAAGGCCATTTTTATAAAAATAATAAACTTAACATACATGATTAGTTATATAAGAAAAACTACTTGTTAATTACAATATTTTAATATTGTCTTAATTTCAACCATTATGATTAAATTTAAATAAGTAACTAATTATATATTATTGGTCAAACAGTTTATTTTTTAACTTTATTATAAAATAAGAACTGTTTAATCAAAAAGTTATATTTAATTTATTAAAAATTAATGTATAATAATTTTAAAATATAAATATTTATTATTTATCCTATAAATTATTGAAGATAAAAAATATAAGATAAAATTTTAAGAAAAGAGACATTAAAAAATAAACCATTGAAAATGAAAAATATAACATGAATATGTATTTTTTTTCCTGATAACAGTTTATGGTTAAAAAGGAATCTTGATATAATTATAGATCACGAGACAAAATTTAAAAAATAAAAATAAAATTTAAATGTTTTTTTCTTTTATTATTTACCACGAATAGTGTGTGAACACGTGTTAGCTGATTTTAATAAAGAAGAAAAAAATAGACAAGATAAAGACTAAATAAAGAGACAGACAAAGAGTTAGAGAATTATAAGACGTTGTTGTTCTCTCATGGAAAGGTCGTTAGAGCATTAAATATTACATCACCTGCACCGATACATGAATCTAATCAAATTCTCTTTAAATTATTTGAGACCGAAGACAAGTTCTACTGCTTCAGATTTGACAAAAAGTTACCCAAAACAGCGCTATTTAATAGTTCAATAATCTTCTTACAGGCTTAAACTATGTTGGTTAAATTCATGAATTTAACTTTTGAAAAAAAGAAAAATATATTCAATCATATTTACTGGAAATATCATTTGAATTAAAGTAAAAATAAAAATAGATGAGGAAGGTGGTGGTGCTTTGAGCTTGACAAGGTATTTCAATATATTAAGAGATTATTTTATTTTACTTTTATATTACATGATTTAATTTAACTATATAGCATTTACAATTTAATTTTATTATTTTGAGATTCATCTTCAATATATTATTAATATTGTATCTTCAATATATTGTTAATATTGATAAATAATAAGTTTTTATATATTATATTTTAAATTATGGACACAAATTACATGCAATTTTATAGGTGTTATTAGTATTGTTTTCCATTTCAATACTGTAATCTCTATTATTACGAATGTATTGTCTTTCTAATAGTCATCAATGTTTTATTTTTCACCTTAACTTACTCTTGCAAAATTATGCCTATCATATATATAAATAAAATGCATAAGTCAAAATATGGGAAATATATATACCACTTCAAAAGTTAAATAAAGCATAATTTTATAATATTTCTAATTTTAAATCTATTTTTGTTAGGAATATATGTTCCTGTGTAAATATACAGTCACAATTCAAAATAATATGCAAAATATATATAATAAATTAGTAATTTAATTTAAACATGTAAATTTAAATATTAGATAAAAAAATATAATTTATCTCAATTTTTCATATATCACAACAACATGTCTATAAAGACTCACAGTACAACTTCTGAAAAATTAGATATTAAAATAGACATTAAATATTTGAACTTATCATAACACAAATTCTTGAGTGCAATATACAAAGGGACTGAATTTGGTATATGGACTTATGTATGATTAGGATAAATTATAAATGACTTATCAAAATACAATTTTTTCTTTTTTTACATCGCAGAAGTTATTAAAAATTTCATTCAACTCTTACCACCTAATCCTTTCATCCATATGATTTCAATGATAGGTAGATTCAGTATGTTTCCTTGAGTCACAAATCAATATTTATACATATAACAATATACACATGAAGATACCTTTTAATAATTCTCATATCACAATATATATTTTTTAAAACACATAATAACATTCAACACATTTTTTTATATATATTTATAACATGTATCTTATTATCTTAAAGCATATACATATCGTTTATAACATTGAAACAAAATAATTTTTTTTTCCTAATTTAACATATGTTTATTCTTTTAATTGTAATTTTTTTTATCAAAATCATTTTTAACTAGTTTTTATTTTATTATTTTTTATAATTTTTCAAAAATAACTAAGCGGATTTGAAAGTATTGAATGAATTTCAAATCCGTTTGGTAGATTCGTGAAAGTAACATATTGCATAATATGCTTAATAATTAATGTTTTCAATTAAATTAATTCTAAATCTTACCCTCCATGTAGTAAATTAATTTACTAAATTCAATATAAGAACAATACATTCATACACAAAAAATATCTTTTTCAATCACATATAAATCAATTATACATTTCACATTCAATCCAATTATCACAAATTAACATATACATAATCACACAACCTAAATACCCGAAACTCAAATAATTGATCAAGTCACAATTTAGATGTTTTAGCCTAAAGTAGTATGAAAATTAAAAAATAATTAACTTTCCTTACCTTTATGCCTCTAAGTTAAAGAACCCAAAAGTTTTCTAAATTTTTAGAAAGTTAGATCATGCTAAAAAAACTCAATTAACAAATTAAACATATCACATTACAAATAATTAATAAATATTAATTTTTTCAGAACAATTTTTTTTATATGTTTTTAATATAAACAAAATCAAAATAATATATATATAAAGTAATTATTATACTTTAGTATAATTAAAAAATAAATTAGTATTTAGATCTAAGTATATATTAAGAAATTATTATACTTTAGTATAATTAAAAAAATAAATTAGTATTTAGATGGAAGATGATATATATATATATATATATATATATATATATATATATATAATGATAAAAACTATATATTTTACATGAAAAGTCAATTTAACATGTCAAATTTCGAACATATTATTTAGATATAGAGATAAAAATTATAAATTGATATTCGATCTCTCTTATTTTAATATTTTAATATATTATATATGTTAAATTATATAATAATTTTAATAAGAGGCGGATAAGGGGTCAAGAATCCTCCATTTTTTTATATATAATATATTTTTAAAAAAATTAAATAAAAGTTATTTTATAAATATAAATAAAATTTAAATTTTGTATTCTTTATTTTTCTAAAATTTCATTTATAATAAACATTATATTTATTTTTTAATATAATTTTTCATTTACACTTTTTTCACTTTCTTCTTTCTATTAATTTTTTTATCAAATACTTATTTTATTTTTTCAATATTTTTTTCTCTTTTTTCTTATCAGTCGTCCTATTTCGTATTCTTCTTTTCCATGATTTAATGTTACAGAATAAAATTTATAATTTTTTCTTTTTAGTTTTCAATTTTTTATTTGTTATAATTTAATATTTATAATATAAATTGTAATTTTTTATTTATTTTATTATTTGAATTTTTTTTCTATTTATATTGGATACATCATGCAGGAAGTTAAAAAATAAAGGATATTCCATAATATTTTAATTAAAAAAAACTTATTTTATTATTATTTTGTTGTTTATTATTATAATAAATTACTATGATAATATAAAAATATAAAATATTGATTTAATTATTTTTATTTGTTATGAATTAATTAGTTATTTAATGTTTTTATGATCAAAATATAAACAAAAAAAATTCAATATAGTTTTGAAAATATTTAAAAATAAAATTAGAGACTTTTTTTAAAAGATAGATGATGAAATAAATTTTATTTTTTAAAATTTAAATTCAATTAATAATATTAAACATATTAATATATATTTTATATAATAAATTTAAAATATTAAACATATTAATATATTTTTTATATAATAAATATTTTTATATAATAAATATTTTTTATATATTGGTTCTCTTTCCTTAAAATTTTTATTCCAAAATATGGTTTTATTAATTAATTAAATATAAATTTATTTATAATTTTACAAACCAATTTATTTGTTATTAAGGTAGACTTTTTTATTTTATTTTGTAAGTTTGACAATTAAATTTGACTCATCGTTAAGGTTGAGATCGGTTACCCAAATATGAATCAAAATTAACAAACTTATATAATAATAAAAAGAAAACTGATGGTAAAAAAAAAATTGATTAGTTTTTAAAAAATAGTTTCATTGAGACAAATTTTATCCTTTTGGTGTAATATATATTTAAAATAATTTATCACTTGAGATAATACAGAGCTTATTTTTTTTGTTCACCTATATTATACTAATTATCACTAAATCATTTTTAATCAAAATGAATTATAAAAATAATGGAAAAATTATATAATACCTATTAAATAAAGGTGTGGTTGAAAATTAATAATATATATTTTTATTTTATAAAGACAATTAAAATAAAATGGAACTTGTAAAATGTCAATATTTTTAGGAGAATGTCATGCGATTTTAAAAAGAAGAGAGTGCGTGTAAATTCGGCTAGTTAATATATAAATAATGCCTGTCATCAGATTTTAATAATATTTTTTTAGTTGGAACCCTATGAGAATATTGATTAAATATCATTTAATATATTTCACGAAACATTCTATCATAAAAAATATTGATTAAATAGCATTTAATATATTTATTAAATAATAAATAATTTCATAAAAAATATTCAAAGTTTTCCTATAATCAGTATTTTTATCTTTATCCCCTAAATCAATTTCTTGAATACCACTCTTAGAGATTAAACCTTTTTGTTGCTCATATATTTATTTATTATATTTACTAAACTCTTATTTAAAAAGAAGAAGAAGAAGTGTGTTATTTTATTTGTTTGTAAATCATAAATTATTATTTTTATATTTATAAATAAAAGTTAGAGTCAGAGTGCAGAATAGGAAAAAAAAAAGCAGAAAGGAACAGGAAAGAGTGGCATTCCAGCTCCAACTAGGCGATCATATTTCTCCTTTTCTAATTCGGACAACAGACCAACCCTTCTCTGCAATTAGGTAAATTTATCACCTTTTCTATTTTTTCTCACTACCCACTTTATCTTGATTATTGTTTTTTAGTTGAGAACGATGATTATTCTCTTTTGTTGAGCCGTCACTTTGCACTTTTTCCATTTTTCTTGTAATATATGCAGTTGCTGACTTTGCGGTGAGAGAAAAGTGTTCGGAATCTCCATAGTTTTCAGTGAATATGTCGAATAACTTGGCCGGGCAACTTGTTGGTTCAGAGATACATGGATTCCACACATTGCAAGGTACGTACTTCACTGTTGGTTTTTGAATTATGTCTATGTTAACTTTGATCAAGTGTCTAAGACCAAGATGTAGGTTGTCTCTTGTTAGTTTATAATTAGCGACGAGGGTAATTTATTGTTGTTCTGATATGTTTTCTTATATATGCCCCAGATTTGGATGTGGGGAGCATTATGGAGGAAGCAAGAACCAGATGGCTTCGTCCCAATGAAATTCATGCCATGCTGTGTAATTACAAGTATTTTACCATTAATGTCAAGCCAGTGAATTTGCCAAAAAGTAATTATCAATCAGCAGTAACTTGATGTTTAAATAGTGGATATGCATCGTTTCCATTCTGCACTATCTTGTACTTTCTAATAGATATTAATATATGTGTGCATATCTTAATTTCCATAAAAATTTTACCTACTGGTAGAAGGCATTCCATGATAATCATATTTTGGAGTTTTTTGTGATTTTTAGCTTATTGGATTAATTGTAAGCCTATACACCCTTTAATTATTGGTTTTAAAATTTATTTTGTTTGAAGTTTCAATTCTTAGGAGGATCTATTTCCTCTAATATCTCTGTAATCCTTTTGGTTTTACTCAAAATGTATTTCTTCTTTCCTAAAAACAAACGCCAGTTATTTGTATATATCATTAATAAAACAATATAAAGTCTCACCGTAAATGACTTTTCATTCATGTATCTAATAGAATTTCCATTAGTTATTTTGCATCCAAAATTAATGATAACACAATGCCAAATATCCGGTGAAAATGTTATTATTATTATTATTATTTTGTGTGTGAACAGGTGGTACTATTGTCTTATTTGATCGCAAGATGCTTAGGAACTTTCGAAAAGATGGGCACAACTGGAAAAAGAAAAAAGATGGGAAAACTGTTAAAGAAGCTCATGAGCACTTAAAAGTGAGGATCTTCATTATTTGGTATTTTTATTTGTGTTAATTTAATTTAATTTAATTTAATTTCTTTAAACGATTGTAGATGGGATAATTGATCATTTTTTTGTTAATATGGAGTGTGAATGAATTAATCACTGGTACAAAGATGAGAAGATATACCAAAAAGCCTGACAAGCATTAGATGTGGTTAAATGTTGAAAGGCATGAGGTTTCTTGGAGCTCAGTTTTCTATTTTACCAATTTTGTTGATGCTATTCAATTCATTATGTTTTCTCCATAAGTAGTACTTTTCTTATTAGAGGAGTTTGGCGTGCAGTACTTTTAGATATCATCCTCTTTTAGATCTGTAACTGCTGAAGTATTTAAATAGTGATGTGTAATTTATACAATGCACTATCTCGAGCTTTGTATGTCATGATTTTTGTACATGTATGATGATAATTCTTTCCTCAAGTTTTTGTTGATCCATTAGCATCATATCTGATTTTTTACTTTCTTTTTGGTCCTTTTATTCTTTTCTACATCCAACAGGTTGGTAATGAAGAAAGGATACATGTATATTATGCACATGGTCAAGATAATCCAAATTTTGTGCGAAGATGTTATTGGCTGCTTGATAAGTATGCATATGAGTCATCTCTTATAGGTCCAATTTTAAAATTTTATACATGTTCATACTGCGGAGTTATGCTCTAGTATGGTGCTTCTGTTATTCTTGAATATATTTGTTAAAGCATAAAATTCAAATAAGGTTGCCAATAACATGTGACTAAATTTCTTTTCACTATTTTTTTTTTCAGGAGTATGGAACACATAGTCCTTGTTCATTACCGTGAAACACAAGAGGTTGTGTTCAGTTGTTCACCATTTCCTCTATTTTTTTGCCTTTCCAAAGTTCAATTTAACCTCACAATCCATGATTTATGTGTCTTGTGTATGTTTTTTGTCTGGAAGAAAGACCATATTCATATTTAGTCATTAGTCAGTTTATGATGTACTGAAACCCAAGAGATGGTGTTCAGTAGGTCACCATTTCCTCTTTTTTTTTTTTTTTTCCTTTCAAAAGTTCAATTTAACCTCACAAACCATAATTTATGTGTTTATTATATGTTGTTTTGTCTGGAAGAAAGACCAAATAGTATCAAGTCTTTAGATTTTGATGTAGTGATCCATTGGTTGTTAGTGTAGTTTTATCCTTTTGAATTTGTCTCGATAGAAGATGAATGTGTCGATAATTTTTTTTTTTCTTACAGCAATGTTTTTTAAGTTGGTGTGGATGGAATCCTCATTTGATTTCTGTGTATAATGCACAGGCTCCTTCATAGTGTTGATTTCCATTATATTTGTTTGAACTTTGAATGGATGTCCAATTCCAACAATGGATATTTACCAGCGTTGATGATGACTATAAGCTCCAAAGTTTTTTCCCAACAAGAGGGATAACCATTTTTTTTAAAGTCCAGTGTTTTGGTCTTAGTTCATCTGTTGGATGGTTGCACGGGGCCATGACAAAACATAGACAGGACCATCATTATTATAAACATTACAGTTTATTAGCTAGCCTTAAAAGATGTCCAAGTACAGCTTTATACATTCTATTGTATTATATACACTCCTTTCTTTTTACTTAAAAATTCACCTAGAATTGGAGTCTACTTTTCTCTATTATATTTTTTTCAACTAAAGGGTAATCCGTGGCATTTAATAAAAACACTCATCAGGGCTAGGATTTCTAATTTAGTTTCTCTTCATGAATGGCACTTACAAGTTATAACATTTTTACAATTAGAAATAAACTCATGTTTAAGGTTCCATTTGTGTTCTAAATTGTTATAGTGAAATTGGATATAACATGGCTTAATAACATTCTTTGGGTTGCTGTTTATGATATAGATGCAAGGTTCTCCCGTCACTCCTGTAAATTCACACTCCAGTTCTGTCTCTGATCCTCTTGCACCGTGGGTTGTATCAGAAGAAATAGATTCAGGGACCAAAACCATATATGCTGGTGGTGAGTAATAGCTTATATTTTTGTAATCCATATTCTTAGAAGTTTTACTGTTGAAAGCTGTCAGTATGAAGGGCTCGTGAGATTTGTTTAAAATGTTTTATTTTAACTTTGAAGATGTGAAGTGTTGTTTGTTTGGAAACAATAAGTTGCAAGGAAAGACTGCACCTCATTTTTATTCTGCTCATCTTTCCAAAGGAAGCGGAAAATAAGACTTTTTTGTTTGTTTATAATGCTGCGTACATCTTGTTGTTTACTTGATAAGGTGTATAATCTCATCCTTTCTGGTTGGACAAAAACAGACATGAGTGACAATGTTAAAGACAAAAGTCATGAACTGAGACTTCATGAGATTAATACACTTGAGTGGGATGACCTAGTGGATGCAAATGATCATAATCCCTCTACCCTACCTAATGGAGGTAAATGGTAGTTGATTAAAGAACAATCATCCACTTTTCTGAAGTGCACCATATTTTTTTATTGTAATTCTATATTAACTTTTTTCAGGCACTGTTCCATATTTTAATCAGCAAGATCAAACTTTACTGAATGACAGTTTCTGCAATGTAAGATAATTATCTTTCTTTTATTTGTATTCATATTCTGTTCTTTGTTGCCCTTTTCGCATGCGTTCTGTACAGGACAGTTAGTTCTTTGACTTTTATCTTTTTTACACGGAAAAAGAAATTTATTAGATAGAAAACGAGTGAAGAACTGGAGAATAACTACGAAGATAATTAGATATCCTCTATTCTAATATTAAAAATAGAGAGGATAAGAAAGGAGAAAGATTCCAAGATGCAGCAAGCTGCTCAAAATCTCTGTATGTTAATAGTGGAAACTCTCATGAAATAACAATGAGTTAATCATCAAAGAGAAGCCAAAAGTACAAACCTCCTAAAGCAAACTTAAGGGCTAAGAGATTCTAAAAATTCAGGTGTTCCTTCTTCAACCAAACAGGCCAAAGAGCTGCAAAAACTTCAGTGTCACAACAAAACATTTGGCCTCCTTATTGTCTTTCCTTTGAAATTTATCATAAGACCATTTCGTCCTCTTTAAAGTGTATGTGTGGAGATTTTTTTATATTTCCTAGACAACATTTAATAGATGTTCAGGAATTCAGCATTTCAAGTGTCTTTTCACCATTAGATTATTGTTTCTGTTGGATATGTAAACATATGAAGTGCAGAACCATATTTTATTGATCGTTCGGCCACATAATTTATATTTAAACAGAACAGAGAGTGAGAAAATGCAGGAAAATAGCTGCAACTTAATGGCTAAATTCTACTAAATGTAGAGCATATCACATGGTTCCTAACAATCAAATACAAACAATCGTGGCTCCTAAAACTAGCAAGAACATAAAAATCAGCTTCTTGAGTCAGCCAATCGATAGTTTTGTTATACATGATAAGGAGTTAAGACACTGTTTTACGTTTAGAATACTGTTTTTCAAATCTGTAATCACATATAAAAAAGGTTATTGTCATTTTGAAGAAGAGGTTTCAAAATTATAGTAAAGGACATGTTTATTTTATGCTATATACCTAATATCTATATCAATTCTTTTGCCTCCTCTTCTTGTCCCTCTTGTTTTACTTCTTTTTCTTTGGATACTTGCTTTGTAATAAATAGCCACTGCTTTGGGATACCTGTTTTGTCACCAGGTAGTCAACAATCTATCTGCAGAAAATTCTTCTTTTAATAGTCTTCTTCCTCAGCAAATTGCTGGGAGCAACATTGTTCCTTACAGTTTTTCAGAGAGTTCTAAGCTTCAGATGATGGGCAATCAAGCAAATCCAAACGAGCAGAGGAACAATACTGTTTCCTTAAGTGGTGTTGGTACCTTGGACCCTTTGGTCAATGATAGATTGCAAAGTCAGGACAGCTTTGGAATGTGGGTGAACCACATAATGTCTAATTCACCATGTTCAGTAGATGACCCAGCTCTTGAATCACCAGTTTCATCCGTTCATGAATCATATTCGTCTATGGTAATGGATGATCAGCAATTTTCTCAGCCAGAACAAGTATTTACTATCACTGATGTATACCCTACATGGGTGTCTTCCACTGAGAAATCAAAGGTTTCCTTTGCCCTTCTTACTTGCTAGCAATTATTTCTGTTGCAAGTATAGCTTTCTTTAACAGTTAACTCTAATGTGTTATTTGGTTTCTTTTAATCTTGAATTCTTGTTGAATTCCAAAGTTGTAATCTGCAAATATATAAACTGACGAATATGAATTATTGGTTTTTTTCAATATAGCCAAAATCATTTTAGTTGTTGCTAATAATTGCTCTTTGGTAAAAGCATGCACATCTTCATGTATTGGAACTTTTATAACAAAGTACATACTTGCATGATGAATTCATATGTTCGCCACCTGATATTTTGATTTCTGAATTACTTTAATTGCAGGTCCTGGTGACTGGATTCTTTCATAAGGATTATATGCACCTTTCAAAGTCCAATCTATTATGTGTCTGTGGTGATGTTAGCGTTCCTGCAGAAATTGTTCAGGTTGGGGTCTACCGGTGCTGGGTATCACCACATTCTCCAGGAATCGTAAATCTCTACTTGAGTTTTGATGGCCATAAGCCTATTAGCCAAGTTGTTAATTTTGAATATCGTACTCTTGTCTTGCATGATCCTACAGCTTCAATGGAAGAGAATAGCAATTGGGATGAATTTCGACTACAAATGAGGCTTTCTTATTTGCTTTTTGCTAAACAATTGAGCCTGGATGTTATCTCCAGTAAAATATCACCCAATAGAGTTAAGGAGGCTAGGCAATTCGCACTTAAAACATCATTTATTTCCAATAGTTGGCAGTATTTAATCAAGTCAACCGAAGACAACCTGATTCCATTTTCACAAGCAAAAGATGGTCTATTTGGAATTGCATTGAAAAACAGACTAAGGGAGTGGCTTTTGGAAAGAATTGTTTTAGGTTATAAGACTACTGAATATGATGCTCATGGACAAAGTGTCATTCATTTGTGTGCAATTTTGGGATATACTTGGGCTGTTTCCTTATTTTCATGGTCAGGCTTGTCGCTGGATTTCCGTGATAGATTTGGATGGACAGCTCTTCATTGGGCAGCATATTGTGGAAGGTATAGTAGACAGACACCTCACTTTATAACACCATTTGCCCTTCTGCAACTAAATTGACCAAAACATCCTTTTCTGCTTGAACTTTGAATGAAAGTTTTCTTATATATTTGATTTAAAATTTGTATCTTCAGGGAGAAAATGGTTGCAACTCTGCTGTCTGCTGGGGCAAAGTCAAATTTGGTTACTGATCCTACGCCACAAAATCCTGGTGGTTGCACTGCTGCCGATCTTGCTTATATGAAGGGTCATGATGGTCTAGCAGCTTATCTTTCAGAAAAATCTTTGGTTCAGCACTTTAATGACATGAGCTTAGCTGGAAATATCAGTGGCTCCTTGGAAACTAGCACAACTGATGTAGTCAATTCTGCAAATCTTACTGATGACCAGCAGAACCTGAAAGATACATTGGCAGCTTACCGAACTGCTGCTGAAGCAGCTGCTCGCATACAAGCTGCATTTAGGGAACACAATCTAAAACTGAGAACTGACGCTGTTGTGTCTTCCAATCCAGAGGCTGAAGCACGCCAAATAGTTGCAGCAATGAAAATTCAGCATGCCTTTAGGAACTACGAGACAAAGAAAATGATGGGAGCTGCTGCTCGCATTCAGTGTACATTCCGTACATGGAAGATTCGTAAAGAATTTCTCCTGATGCGCCGGCAGGCTGTTAAAATTCAAGTAAAATGTTCTCTGCTAGTTGGCACTTATGTTAACAGCTGGTTTGGTTGGGTAAATTGACTAACATGTTTGTTACAATGCAGGCTGCTTTCAGGTGCTTTCAACTGCGCAAGCATTATCGGAAAATTCTTTGGTCTGTTAGCGTGGTTGAGAAAGCAGTGCTGCGATGGCGTTTGAAGAGAAGGGGCTTCCGAGGGCTCCAGGTCAGAACTGTTGAAGTGGGAACCGGAGATCACGACCAGGAAAGTGTTGTTGAGGAGGAATTCTTTCGGACAGGTAGGAAACAGGCTGAAGAACGTGTTGAGAGATCTGTAGTGCGGGTGCAGGCTATGTTCCGATCGAAGAAAGCACAAGAAGAGTATAGGAGGATGAAATTGGCCCTAGATCAAGCGAAGGTAACACAGTTAAATTTTACATTTCCTAGTACTTGGAGGATTTGATTTTGCATGTTTTTTCACCTGTAGAGTATTTATTCCTTTTTGCAGGTGGAACGGGAATACGAACAACTTCTTAGTACTGAAGTTGACATGGAACTGAAGGCATAATTACCCAAAGAGAGTCTTCTTTTAGGGATGCAATATGTTTTTATATATCCTGTGGATCTTGTAAGTTCTCCTTGACCCTTTCAGACTTCCTTAATATCCTACAATGGGTTTTCATGCTTCACTGGCCTCTCTATGTTCATTATATTCTGATGCAAAAATCTAGCTTAACTAAAGTACTATGCCACCCCAAAGATTAATACACGGAATGCTAGAATAGTTACGGCTACAAGCCTGGCCTTTTGCCTCAACAGCAGGAGCTGAGACAACAGAAGATCAGTGAGATTACTTTTTTTTTCTCATTTACAGGCACCAACACATCTTCAATATTAGCTCATATGTATAAAGAAACTTTTCTTAAATTACCACATCCAGTATCAGTGATCTTAATGATTAAAAGGTTGTTATATGATACTCACCAAATAACTGTTTTAAAATAAATCTGAAATCCAAAACCAATTGTGTCAATATCAATGCAGTATGAGGTAATTATGTCTGATTGCTGGGGAAAAAAGCAGCACAGTAGCACCCAAGTGTAACAATAATTTGTAGATAAGTGGTAGGTCCCTTGTACATATTTGTTAGGAATTCAAGTTTGGATCTTATATACAGAAAAAAAAAATTGTTGGGGGAAGTATTTATGATTTCTACAAGATTGAGTAATGTTTCTTACCACAAATTCTCACACAGATCTTTCTATTTGTAAAAAATATTAAATAAAAAATAAATGCGTTTAATGTTTTGAAAACAAAGAACACTCGAAATACTTGTAATAAAAAAAGTTGGAAGATATTATAGAATAAATCAAAATTATTCCAAAAGATTTGCGAATTTATGTACGCATGTGAAATGTGAAAATAGATTAATAAATTTCACATAAATGATGAAAATTAATATAAATCATGTTTTTCATTGAGTCATATTCAAATAAAACCAGTCCTTTCATTTTGTGCGCCGTCTTATTTGAAGTACTTCCACCTTCATATTTGAAGGGAGAGGGACCAAATGATGGCTATTTTTATTCCAGTTATGACACATCTTTGTTTAAAAATATAAAAGTCATAATCGTTTAAGTGACCGATGTGACTTTGACATATATAATCAGCATTCACTCATTGTATTATTATCAAATAAGAATAATTCTCTCATCTAATAGATAATTTCAATAATAATTCTTTGTTTGTATTAGAGAGGGAGAGAATAAAATGAAAAATTTGTAATTGATTTGAAAAGGAAAAATATATAATTGTGTAAAAATTAAATATAATTAAATAAAAATTAATATTTTTTTAATATTGTAAAGTTATTTATAAATTGTTTAAAATTGACTCAAAATATTCAAAAGTATTGACAAATTTATAAGACTATTTAAAAATGATGTTAATTTATAATTTCTTGTTTTGTAAAAGTATAACACGTTAAATAATATAACAGCAATATTAATTAAAATTGAAAATATTATTCAACATATTAAAGAATATAACACATAAAAATTTCACAAAAAACATTTTCTACAATATAAAAATAAACAAATTAAACCCTAATGAGTATATATTGAAAATTTAAAAATTTATTCAAACTCTAACGACATGTTTATAAATTATTAAAATAAACCCTAAATTGAACGAATTTTCAACAAATTATTCGAAACACATTGTACACAACATTAATGACGTATTACAGATTATTTAAAAAAAAGTGTACTGAAATATTTCAAAATTATTAAAAGAATCCTGAATACAACTACAATGTTATCAAACATTAGAAAAAATAAATTAACTCATTCCTAATAAATATTGCATGCTAAAATTGTCAATGACTATTAAAACTCTACTAAAATTTTATAAATTATTAAAAAAAAACCCTAAAGCAAAAGAAATTTATTGAAGTTTTGGTATTAAAACAATCCTACTTTTAGAATATTTAAAACTCAGATGACACATTAAAAAAAAAAAAATTGAAGCCTAGAAACAGTCACATACTAACTATACAGTTTCTACGTATTAATTCCACGTCCAATTTCATAAGAACTATATTCAACATCATATTCATAAGCATAATAAGTGACTATCTGAACATAATTAATTATGTAATTGTTTCATCATAATTAGATGATTGTTTGAACATAATCAACTCTTTTCTAAATGTAGAACAATATGACTTATATTTTCAAAATGCAGAAGAACATGAAAAAGCATAATTGAAGGATAATCTAGTCAATCCAACATTGTTAGGGAGACTTTTCAATCAAATTCCTTTTTTTTTTTCAATGAAAGATAAAATACAATAGATTCCAATGTTCCATCATAACCACCAATACCATCCCCGCATAAATCATAACAATCAACTCAAATCGAAATTAAGTGATTCATGCACTTCAAACAAATCTCAGACATTTTTTTAATGAAAAAGTAATTATTTAAGCCGATTTGGAGCTATAATATGCCCTTCATGAAAATGTGAGATTGCGAAAGGAAGACCAACAATGATCTTTACCATCACTGGTCAAGCATTCAAAGATTACAACCACCAAACATAGGAACATTCAAGCCACCATTTATTACTTCATTAGTTTTAATATCTCCTATGTAGAACAGCAACAAAAGCTTGCAGATGCCAAAAAGAAAATAAATCAGAAAAGAGAAACAAGCATGTCTCATATCATAACAAAATAAAAGCACCATATTCAAGTATATCTTCAATATACATGAGCAGATAAGTCTAGAAACTACAATATACTAATGTGGAGACTGCATTAACATGATGATATGAAAGAACTAGAAGCACACTTGTTCTTTTCTATTTAATGTACTGGGAGAGCCACTGAAAGCCTTCACCATACCCCATCTTGCGTACAATACTGCACATGAAAACCTCCAAAGGTCGAACATTGGAATCAGCCAAATTAACCTTGCCCTTGCCCGTGGTGAAGTTGGTGAGACCCATGTGATAACGCAGCTCATCCTCTGAGGCAGCATAAGGTATGTCAATCTTGTTTCCCAAGATAAGAAAAGGCACATTTGCAAGTGACTCGTCAGCAAGAAGAGCATCCAACTCCTTCTTCGATTCTTGAAATCTTTCCTTGTCATATGCATCAACCAGGTACACTACAGCATCCACCTACATCATGACATCATCATGCAAATTAGAATTCCAAATATGACAATACTTAGATCAAGTTTCATATATCCTTTTTACCATCATGCTCTCAAATTAAACAATGGTAGGTGCATGATTTTTCCAAAATTACATAATGTCCATGTCAAGGTTTGATTTGTAAAGTAGATAGCAACCGTGTAAGGAATTTGATACGTAGGTTTTGGCCTTCCTAATACTCAATTGACCCTACAACTAAAAACCATACTCTTCCTAGTATATATAAGCAACCAAGAAGCCGTGTAGACAACCAGGTAATAAAGGTTAGCACATTATGTATCAAACCAAATAAAAAATCTGCCTAACTGCAAAAAGGTGAATCCTATTTTTATTTTGTTTTCTATTTCAAAGATTGGTATAGGAACAAGTGAAAACAAGCTCTTAAAACCAAACAAAAAGTAAAACTGAGGTGACCATTTTGTGATTAAAAGTTGAAACAGAATAAAAACTGAAAATCCAACTTCAATGGTTCAAAAATTCTCCATCAATGCATGCATTTGCAATTCACAGGTGCTAGACAGAATTGTTTTTCTTAATTGGCCAAAAAAAAAACAGCTAATATCAACAATAATTGACCAAAAAACAACAAAAACGGCACACAAAAAAATGGCAAGATTACTCAGATCATAGAATAATTAGTACATAGTACCAACACTCTCATGCTCTCGTATCTTCTTGTGCTTTCAGTATCAAGAGTTTTTCTTATAAAACATATACATATTTAGCATTTGCCAAATTCATAAACACAAGTAACATGGTATTACAAAACAGAAAGTTCAAGCATGCTTTGAACTATCAATTCAAAAACCTAATTATAAGATGTAAACTTACAAACTACTATCTTTACATGCCATGCAAGCCCAATAATAATTACAATAATAGAAATGAACTACCATTCAAATGTCCTGTATTCATAATCAAGAAACTGAACAGGAAATGGAAAAAAAAAAAATGTACAAACCTGGGCGTAATAATCCCTCCAAACCCTACGAGCAATCTGGTGGCCACCCAAATCAAAAGCCTTAAACTTTATCTTTCCGATACTCAATTCTTCCGAAGTGGGATATTGAGTAGGTTGATGCTGAACTAATCTCTACACAAATTCAATTTATCATCAAGGAAAACCTTCAAAACTGATAAATCCTTGAGCAATAATCCTATTATAAGATATAAAAAGAAAAATAAGGTAAAGTTAGAAAAAAAAAACCTCATCTTTGAGCATGTGAAGCAAAGTGGTCTTGCCAGCATTATCTAATCCCAGGAACAAAATCTTCGCTTCCTTTTGCCAAAGACCAAGACTGGCCAAAATTCCATAGAACCAATCAAAAAGAAACATTCTTTTTTTTTTAAATCTTTCTGAAAACTTTCACAACTGGTGTTAAAATATAAACAGAAAAATCTTCTAGGCCGTCAGAGTGACCGGAAACCCCAACAGTCAAAAGAGAAAGCTAAACTTGCTACGTATTAATTCAGAAGAAGAATCCACAAGAAAACGCAACAAGAAAAGAACCAGATTTTTCTTTTCCTTTTCTATTTTCTTTATGTTTTGCTGTCTTCGGTTACTTTTGGTAGGCATATATATTGGGGACCAGTGAATACCTATCACCGGCTTGGCAGGTTAAATATATAGGCTGAACCCTGTACAGAAAAACTGAAGTTTTATGATGGTAATAGAATGGATACTGGAGTAGTCTGTTATTGGGTGAAAATTCCAGTTGTGCGTATTTAATTGGTTGGTACGCGTCATTGGGTTTAACAGTTCATAAATAATAATAATAAAACCAACAGTTTTTCTTAACATGAGAATGGGTTTCTCCAAGATTGAAAGATGTGATTTATTTTATATTTTATTAATAGAAATAGAGGAGCATTAAGATGCCATTGAGTATTTTATATTATTTTATTTTGATTAAAAAAATTAATATTTATATTAATTTTATTTTTTTAAATAATGTATATATATAATTATTTAAAAAAATTAATGAATGATGTCAGATTAGAAAGATAAAAAAACTCTTTAATTATGTATTTAGAGACATCGCCTTGTGGGAATTTGATTTGATTTAGAAAACTCTTTACGTTGAATAATTATTTTAAATGAAAAAAATAGTTATTTGAATGGTTGTTTTTATTAGGCACTTAAATAATTTTATTAAAAGAAAAAATTAAATTAAAATTAATGATAATTATATTGAAAATTTCATAAAAAGAAGATAAAATGATAAATTATAGAAATGAGATAAGTATATCAAATTAAAGAGAATTACTTTATATATTATATAGATATTATTATTATTATTATTATTAAATAGTTTTTATTTTATTTTATTTTAAGATAAAAATTCTGTATTATTTTATAATTTTTATATTAAATATTATTTTTAAGAAAATAATTAATTTAATAAATAACTTAACTTTCGAATCAACTTCAATATTACATCAAGATATTACAATTAATTATTTACCTTAATCAATTCCTGAACATCTTTCTGGTAGATATTCCAGAAGAAGTTAAACAAATTAGAAAACGTCAAAGACTTGGGGATAAATAAAATTTACACAAACATGAAAGGTTGATGTCAGATGATAACTCACGAAAAGAATGGCTTGTGTGAAAGGCAATTTTCAATGCATTTCAACTCCATAAAGCAATGCACTGCACCAACATGTTTTTTTCTTGTCTCCTGCAAAATTATTTACTGCCAGAAAATTTAATATTTGATCTGATACAATTTCATTTTCCTAACAATTAATAATTGACAAAAAGAATCACAACTATTAATAATGTAATTTTTATTTTATTTTTTGAATTTTCATTAGACCATCTTGGATGTATAGTATTTAACTCACTATTAAAACAAAATTATATTTTATAATTAATTATATTAAAATTGATTTACGAGACAGTTAAAATTCTTAAAATGTTAAAGCATTTTAATATGTTTTTATTTTAAATGAAAGATGGTATGTCCCATGATTTTTAAATAATTCATACTAAATTTTTAAAAATGTTGTTCTAATTGTTATTTAGATTAATTCTAATGTTATTGCTTATAAGATACATGTATTTTTATATCAAGTAAGTTAAATACCCTAGGATCGAAATTGTTTTAGCAAACATTATTTCCATCAGTAATATTGCTTCACAAGAAAAATTAAAAACAAAGAAAAAAACGTATCTCTTAAAAAAATCATCTAAAACTATTCATCTCAAATCATATTTATTAAAAATAAATAAATTTAATTTTTTTACATTAATTTTAAACGAGAATAAAAAATAAAGAATATTTTTATTTTATTTACAAAATAATAGTTATAATAACAGTATATAATACTTATTTAAATATTTTTTAATTTCAATAAAATTAGTTTAAATTTCAATTTTAATCTTATAATTTTCTTAAAATTAGTTTTAAAATTAAAAACAAAACATCAGTTATAAAATTTAAAGCCTTCTATAAATTTATTACAATTCTGCGTTAAAATATTATATTAAATTAATATTCAGTTGTAATAATTTTTTTTAAATTATGCAAGTAAAAAGTTTTTAGTTTTATTTCCTTTTTTCAAACAAGAAATATGTTTTTGAAAATCATTTTTTTTCTAATTAATATTCAGTTGTAATAATTTTTTTTAAAATTATACAAGTAAAAAGTTGTTAGTTTTTTTATTTCCATTTTTCAAGCAGGAAATATGTTTTTGAAAATCATTTTTCTGTAAAGAAAAAGAGTTTTTCAAATTTTTTCCATTTTCTTGACAAAAGCCAAATATTGTATATGAGTTGAGGAATATTTTGTATACTATGGAAATCTTTGTAAAAATATTTTCTTGTATATCATTTTTATTTATCTTTTTTTGTTTATTTGTTTGTTTTTCTTTCTATCATTTAAAATATATATATAACAAAAAGTTTTTTTTTTTAAATTATCCAAGTAAAAATATGAGTTTTACAAAGGTTACTCATTAGAGTAAATATCAAAAAATTTAGTATTAATTATTAAAAAATTATTTAACATAAAATCTCAATTAAAATTAAAATTAAAATATGTTGCTTATGATAAATAAAATTTCGTTTATACATACCATTATAAGTTTATAATTCAATGTCACTTTCTAAATTATCTTGGTTTAGTTACAAGTAGAAATAAAGGAAAAGAGATTTTAAATTATTAAGAATATGAGAAACAATAAGGAACATGAAAAGAAAAAAAAAGTGTCAGTTGTGTAGTTAAATGAAAAATAAAGAAGAGACAAAATATGATTATATTGAATATTTTTTTTATAATATAATAAAATAAGGACATTTTAGTTGAATAATTCTTACTCAGACATTATTATTTTTTTCTTAAGATATATTTAAAGAATTTACATTTATCAATATATACTTTTTCATACAATGTACTAAAATCAAACTTCCAATCATAAAAAAAATTATTATCCATTCTAAATCATACTCAAGATTTTTCAGAGTTATATTATTATACTCAAATATATATAATTTTTTTTAATTATGAATATTCTTCATTACTTTCTCTTCATCTTTCTGAACAATTAAAGGAGATACCATCCCTTGAATGATGTATTTTCTATCCAGATTATTTATTTTCAAAATCAATTGAACTAAATGAAGCATGAAAGTTAATTGATTAACCCTAAAGATGAGAATCAAAATGACCTATCTTCACTAATTTTAGGTGATAAGTTTTTTTAGTCATTTCAAAATTAAATAGACTAATACTTATAATGTTAAAGATTAACTTATTATATTATCTTACTAAACATAGCTAACATTTTCCATCTTCTAAGTCATTGCTGCCTGTTGATAGTCATAAGACATGCACAAACAATTTAGATGCCCTTACTCTCTATTTTCATATTTTTCAAACATCACCAAAAGAGAAAGAGATAAGAGAAATAGTATGAGACATTATCAGATTATTATTGTGTTTCTCCAAAATCATACATAATCCCTACAACAGAATCCAGTGTTTCAAACAGAAAATATCCCCCACAAGAGAAATTATCTAAGGATACAAATTGTGACACATAACATCACTGCAGTTGTATCAAATAATCCAATCCAAATGAAATCATTAAAAGCAAAAACAAAGAATAAACCTCTTCTGATGTAACTGCAGACTGTGCTAGTAGATCAAAGAAAGGGGGAACTGATGACAAAATCTACTTAATATATTGAGAGACCCACTGGAAGCCATCTCCATATCCCATTTTGCGGACAATGCTGCACATGAACACTTCGAGAGGCCGAAGGTTGGACTCTGAAAGGTTGACCTTCCCCTTCCCTGTAGTGAAATTGGTCAGGCCCAGATGATATCGTAGCTCTTCTTCTGATGCAGCATATGGAATGTCAATCTTGTTCCCTAGCACAAGAAATGGAACATTTGCCAATGATTCATCCGAAAGCAAGGCATCAAGCTCCTTCTTTGACTCTGCAAACCTCTCTTTGTCATAGGCATCAACCAGGTAAACTACTGCATCAACCTGGAAAAACAAAGTGGTCGTGAATTTTAAAGCATTTCCGAAAATTTCTTAACAGATTTCAAGCCATTGCAAATTATAGTATATGTTTACAAATAGCAATTACATTTTATCCAGGGGAATGAAGTGAAAAACAGTCATTGATGAAGAAAGTAGGAAACCACCATCATCAGTGAGTTATTGCTGAATTGAAGACTAGCCATGCATGAAACACTGGTAGAAAACAAAATTGCAAAACAAAAATATATATGTGATTGAATTGGGAACAGGTGATGATTCAAACACTTCATGATAACCATCGAACTAATTTCATGCTGATCTTACTGAATAACTCTCTGCCCTCAAGATGAAAGAGTGTATCAATTTTAAACCTTCAGTGCTTCTTAACTTGAATAGATGATGTATCTATTTATTACGAAATGTAATATCTAGCTATTTCAGAGATCTATACATTCTTATCTGTGTGCTATTTTCTTTCTAAATCATCAGGAATATTTTGGACATGTCAAGAAAAATACTGGTAAATGTTGAAAGAAGTGTCAGTTGCGAAATTTGCACAGTCAATATTTACCTCTCATGAATCAGATCATAAATACAATATGAAATCTAAATCAGTGAGCTCATAAGAAATCAAGTCAGTTTTGAGTTAAAAAATTACAATATATCTTAAACAAAGAGGAATAAATGAGACAAAGTTGTACGAAGCCATGATCTGATATAAGCTACGAACTTTAAAGGGTTTCAGAACAGCAACAGTACATCAATAAAATATGACAGGAAAATTGAGTGGAGAACAAAACAACTCGTATAAAAAGCTGGCACATCAAATAGGAATTGAACAATAATGAATAAGCCAGCCCTACAGCCCCTGGATCTACAAGAGATCAACAAGTAGGCAAAGTCCAAAAACCTTCCATTTAGGAGGGGAGAAGACTTTTGACCAAGAATCAAACAAGAACAATGGTCCATCACATCCAACAGAAAGCAAATCAACACTACGAAGTCATCCAGAAACATTTGAAAAATATGCATATCTATAGCAGGGGGAGTAAATAGTTACAAACTGACAACCAATAGCCCCTGCCCCGTAGAAAAAATCCACACCTTTTCTTCAGAAGCACAAAAGAAATAACATTTTTCAGAAGCAAAATATCAAGATTTGAAAAGAGAAATCACAAATCTACACATCCAATTCCGACTGAAAGCAAATAGCCCAAAGGCGTTAACAAGAAGAATGCACAACAATATTAAATAGCAGGGGACATAAATGATATCCAAGTAGGTCCAATCATTATAAGGCACTACCAAGTCTCATTTCTTAGAAACTAAAAAAAAAACATCATTAACTTTGGTTTATTACATGAATTTATCATTGAAAAGGAAAGGAAAATCCGAAATTGACAACCGAAAATGATTTAAGACATTGACCTTGGCATAATAGTCTTTCCAGACTCTACGGGCAACTTGATGGCCCCCCAAATCAAAAGCCTTAAACTTGATCTTCCCAATGCTCAATTCCTCCGAGGTGGGGTGTTGGGTTGGCTGGTGCTGAACTAATCTCTGCAATTGCATTGAAAAGATAAAAACATTCTCAGTAAAGAAAAATAAATAAAAAATAAAAAAGGGTATATTGATGCTGGGAATGAAGAACCTCGTCTTTGAGCATGTGAAGGAGGGTAGTCTTTCCGGCATTATCGAGACCGAGGAAGAGAATCTTGGCTTCTTTCTGCCAAAGGCCGAGGGAAGCTAGAATGCCATAGAACCAGTCGAAGAGGAACATGTTTGAATTGCAGAGGTAGGTGTAGTGTCGTGTTGGGGAGAAAAGAAAAGTCCCAGATCGAAGAGGAGAAAGGAAGCTAACCTAGATCCCACCGAACCAAGTCTTAGATTGATTGTCTTTTTAGGCAATTAATTCAGCGTTTGAAACGCATGTGGTAGGAATGCTCCTCTTTTTTCTTTTTTTCTCCAAACACGACATCTAACTAAGAACAGGGAGTGAGGGACCCATTCTTCTAAAACAACCTCTCTACTGTCAACTGTTATTTTCATTCTATGGAATGCAACAAATACTCATTATTATTATAATTATTATTACTATTATTATTATAAAATAACATTTATGAGTATGACTGATTTAAATATTCAAATAAAAATTTTATAATTATAAATGCTAAGAGTCTAGATAAATTTAATTATTCATAAACCAACAATTATCATTCAAAACTCTCAATTATTTCACAAAGCATACAAATCAACGTCATGTTTTTCTATCCTTGGGCCTTCAGCTTCTTCTTGGCATGGGCCGGAACCCCATCCCTCCCATATCGTAGCCCATCACTTCTGTTAAGGAAAGGGTACTATCGTCATTTCGTTGAAAGTCTTAGGGTTTCCAGGTGACATATATAAGATCCCATCTACTTCTTTGTAAAATTCTATTCCGCAGAAAACCCTAGCGCAACAGGATATCCAGGATCAGGGTTCGCTCTCTTAATTTCATTAGCATGCTAGCACTATTTTTTGCGTGCGTTCCTTCTTCGTTGTGTAACCTTTTGTTAATTGAATTGCAGAGATGGCGAAGTCGAAGAACCACACCGCTCACAACCAGTCCTACAAGGCTCACAAGAATGGCATCAAAAAGCCAAAGAGGCATCGCCACACTTCCACCAAAGGGGTATTCTCCTTTTTCTTCTATTCTGGTTCTTAATTTATTAATTTACATTTACCGATTTTCTGATTATTCATATTTCAAGTATAATTTTTTTTTTGTTTTGTTTTGATTTCTTTTGATGGTTTATTGTTGGCTATATCCGCAGATGGATCCCAAGTTCTTGAGGAACCAGAGGTACGCCAGGAAGCATAACAAGAAGAGCGGTGAAACAGCCACTGAAGAAGAGTAAAGTGTGGATTTGTTATTCAAGCCCGGTGTTTTTTGTCAAATTTATCTTTAGTAGTAGTCATTTCTATGAGTTATTTAATCCAGAGAATGTAATACTTATTCTTATAGTATCTTTGGTGTTAAAGACCTTTGAAATTTTATTAATGTTTTATTATTCAGTTGTTTGTGCTTTCACTGACTGTTATAGTAGTACGGTTTACCTATAATAGTATGATTGAAGGAATTTTATTACTCATAGGTAGATAATGTTTTTTTTTTCAATTTCATCATTTTACTTTCCTATTATAAAGTTAAGGAATAATGGTATACTTCAAACTGTCATTTGTGCCTTTAGTAATGTTTATGTCTTTAGTGGTATGCTTGTGAATATAAAACTCTATCTGGCCAGACGCAGAAGATTGGATTTTGCATTTACTCAAGGAATTTGATTATTCTTAGGGCGATGATGTATTTATTTTGGCTCTTTTAAAGCCAAGGGAAGAAAGGTACATTTCAAACTGTCATTTGTGTTAGGATTTCAAATTTTTGTTAACATCCATGTTGCAATTGTCCTGTTATCAACAATGATGTATCATATACATTGTCTTTTTTTTTTCAATAGTTATTTGAACACAAATGAAACATTTAATAGTTTAAAATACGGTGAACTGAAAACATGAATTAGGTATTAAACGAAATTTAGTATGGAGTTTTTTTGAGTATGAACCACGTTCACAGTTTCCATCTAATTTCTGCACGCCATTACAAAGTAGATGAGCTTTCAGTGGCTCAATGTATATGGCCGTAGATTTTTATTTTTACGTTGTTGACCTTAGCTACTAGATCTTGCTTGTAATGATGTTGTGTCTGAGAATTTTTATGTAGTGTGTTCAAGCAAAAGGTTTGATTCAGGGTAATTTGGTTTGTTAGCACAGCAGCCATTTTTGTAGTTTGGGTGGGTTTGGTGATGATGCCTTGCTCGAACTTGAGACCCCAGAGTGGTACATGCTGCTGCTAATATCATGGTATGCTCTTGAACAACTTATTTTCATCTTAAACATACTAGCCTATAACTTGTGGCAAGAATGTGTTTTTATAATTTTAAAAGCTGTTAACTATCACTCAATTTTGAAATATACTTTTTAAGATAAATTTGTTTGCTTCGATTTGTCATGCATAATTTTTTCATTGGTCTGTGTAGTTTTCATACCTAATTTTATCATGATCTCTCAAGGGTAAAATTCTTCACGTTCAAATTTTAGTTACATAAACTTTATGTACACTCACTATCAAGATTATTTTAAAGGGGGGAAAACGAAACTAATGGAGAAAACAAGTAGTCAAGATGTTTTGAAAATAGAAAAATACTGTGTAGATGTAGATAACACCTAAATAGTATTTAACCTTTAGTTGTTGACGTCAACCAACCAACATTTTATACATACTTCAAATTGTAAATAGCACTTCATACGATATATGAAATTGCTAATCTTTAGTTAAATATTTCAGTGAAATATGCATCATTAATAAATTATTAATTTTTGTGTAAACTATTCATTCCTGTAAAGGACTGATAATTAAATGTTATGAAAAGTTAGCTGTTTTGATAGATTTTAAAAGTTTTTTAAAATATTTTTCAGTTTTAATTTTTTAAAACTAAAACTTAGTTTTGTATCTGTTGTATTAAAATAGTTTTTGAAAATTGTTTCTATTTTTTAGTTTATATAAACTAAAATAAAATTAATAAAACTTTTTTTATAGTTTCCTATTTTTATTATATTATTAATGTTTTACTTAATATTTACATTAAATAATTTATTATTATTTTAATTTAATTTTTAAGAATATTTATGTCGTTATTTTTTTAAAAAATAACTTCTAAAAGTATAATTATCTATTATTTTTTTTCTAACTTATTTTTCAATATAATTTTTTAAAAATGTCTCTTACATTATTTTTAAAAACTGTAAAATAAAACTAGATTAAATAAGTCCTTAATCTCTCAAAACATTATGATTCTTTTTGGTTAGGCTTTAATACTTAAATGACAGTAGGAGGGAAAAATACTTTGAAGGCCACATTGATTATTTTTTAATTATTTACGCTTCAAAATAATTATATACTTTTTCGTCAGTATTATTCAACTCAACTTTTTTATGTAAAATTTCATGTTTATTCTTATTTTTAGATTGCAAAGTAAATAAAGTCCATAAACATTTGAACGTTATGTAATCCATTGACTTAATACAAAAGCGAGGCTTTTACAAATTTAGTTTCTTTTCCCAAACAATTAGTTTAATTATTACGAACTCAATTACAAAAAAGTTAATTACTTTTAGATTAAAAATTAAAATTTGCTTGGATATAAGTTCACTAAATATGACTCGATTAAGAGATCAAATGTCACATAAATATTATTGAAGAGAAAGCATTTAGATATTTTAAAACGATTTTCTTATTTATCAATATTTAATATTTCCTATTTACTTATATGTTAAAAGGCTTTTAAAACTTTTTATATATAAATGTGTTTTCTTTTTATTCTCGGTCTTATTTTTTAGAATAATTAATGTAAAAGATCAGTTTGTTCATTTAAAAATCTTGGTAAGGTTTAAAATTCAGTAAGAACTTCTATAATTAAAAATGACTTCGATTAGATATATAATCAATACTATTTTAAGATTATTGTTTATATAAGTTTTTTAATATTTGATGAAGAAAGACTTAAAAAATGTTTAAATATTAGGGAAACGAAAATAATATGAATGTTTTTGGGAAACATATTTAATTTATATTCAATATATTTTTTACCGAAATGTAAAAACTTAATTCATACTATATTATTTGGGGATTTTTTAAATGATAACAATCATTTTTAAACTCATTTTTTCAACAAATTTAAAGAAAAATCAAAATATTATAAATTATATATACTTATTGAAATAATATAATTTTACAAAAACAGGTGAAGAAAAAAACTTTCAAAAAATGCTTTAATTTTCAATGAAGCGAAAATTAAACTTAAGCCGAACTCGCTGGTGAATCAATCGAAACTGATACAGGTTGGTAGTTAATTGTACAGATTACGCATGCACACCCGCTATAGATTGACGTGAACTCGTTAAATCTGGTTAAAAGATGAGAATTTTGTGGTTGATCAGTTAATTACTTTTAAACCAGTATTTCATCACAAACACTTGAACGATTGAAGCAACTAACCTAGTTAATTTGTTTACTAAACAAATTTCATTCACAACTAGTTAATCAAACAGATGTATGATAATGCTTGGCCGGTGGCATCATATGTCAATACCAATAAATAATTAGTGACAGACGGATACGATGACAACTAAACCATGGCTATGGAAAAGGACAATAAAATACCTATTCCAATCTTTACGTAGCGAATGTGTGTCAACGAGCATAATTTCATCAACATCTTTGAAGGAAAACTGTTAATGGTACATCCGTATTCGGTGCAAAAGTAGAAGCACTCTACAAAAATATGCCGTTCTCAAAAGGTTTTCTCATTAACTATTTAAATTAGATGAAGTAAACTAGTTTAAAAAATGCAATAATAATGAAGATAAGCATTTTTGACAGGCACTAAGAATACCAAGTAGAAAAGAAACCAGCATATGTATTATTGGGCGTCTATCCATTCTTGGGCCATTATTGATATCCCTCCTCCAACAGTTTCCTTCTTTTACAGGATTCTGAATGTGCTGTCCTCCTCCTGAAGATGCATTAGATTTTGGAAGCCCCTAGTACAAGTAAATTTCTTCAAAATTTTATACTTTGTTTGGGAAGATTAGACTGCAACTGGTTCACTTACTGGGCTAGAAGCTTGTGCTTTAACCTGCCTCAGTAATATAACACGTATTAATGCACCTGCCATAATAAAGTAGCTGTGTGTGGAAGTCTGAAGGTGTATGTTCTATGTTTCAACACTTAACTCCATATTAATTATCCCCGGCCCCGGTTTACCAGATTTTCTGTTAAGATTTAAATTGGTCATTGTCCTAGTAAGGCTAGAATGGAATAGAAATATTAAGGATTAGCTTACCTTTGCGGATTTGAATAGTTCATCAAGAACCTCGGACAAAGTTGGATGTGCATGAACTGCAAACTTTATGTCCTGCAGTGGACCAGAATTTTGAAATTTACCAAACAAGCAGCATACGAGTGGAAGACTTCTTGGACATTATTGAAATTTTATACATAGAAAATTTTACCTGAATACGTGTTCCTAGTGCTATTGCATTGGATGCTTCATGGATGAGATCTGCTGCATGCAAACCAAAAATATGAACTCCCAGTATCTCTCCATTGTCAGGTCTGTATATCAACTGCAAGAAATCATATATGATAATTAGCAATGTCAAGCTGGTGAGAACAGAGACATAAATGCATCCAGAGAAAATGAATAATTGTAGAACAAGTCTCATGACCAAGTAAGTATGGCACCTCCAAGGTAACTAATAGAGGGCTTATAAGCAAATTTCAACACTATTATAAGCTTCTATACAGGAATAGCATTAAAGGAGGAAAATACAAAATAATAACCTTGGCAAGTCCCTCTCCTTCGTTTTCTGCTAGGGCCTTTGTATTTGCTTTAAAACTTGTTTTGGCAACACTTACTTCAAAACCTTCTTTTTCACCTTTCTCCCTTGCTTGAGGCTGCAGATTTTATAAGAGTTCAAGTGAAGGACTACAGGCAGTAATTATACTGTATAAGAAATAGAAGAGAAAAAAAGGATGAAAGAGTAGAAGAATGGAAGGAAATTCAACCACACATGAAAAAGAACTCATTCATTATAACATATTGCAGTGAATCACAAATCGAACATAACAAAATCATGATATACCTCCGTCAATCCAACCATGCTGATTTCAGGATGAGTGAAACAAGCAGCTGGGATGCTTAAATGATTCAGCACATGATCTCTTCCAGTAACTTGTTCAACCACTGTTGGACAAATTTTTCATCAAATGATATTGAAGAAAAAACTAAAACTTGTGGCAAAATTACATCAATTACCAGTTACCTGAAATTCCTTGCGCACTGGCAGCATGAGCAAGCATCATTTTGCCATTTGCATCACCAATACAGAATAAATGCGGCACCTATGATTCCAAATCCTAAGTCAGTAACAAGAAGTCAGAGAGAGATAATTACTACACGAGAAGTCGAGGCAGACCAGCTTTCCATTTGTATCAATTACTCGCATGCGCTCATCCACAGGAACGAAACCACGCTGTGTCACCACATCAATCTGTAGGTACAAATAACCAAAAATATTCTATTACTTTGTTTAGAGAAAATCTCCTAATCCCAAAAGTACGTCGCTGGTATAATTGCTTACATTCTCCAATCCAAGACCTTGTGTGAATGGAGCTCTTCCAGTTGCTATTAGTGCAGCATCCACCTGTAGCAAAGCAAAGGCAACAATTTGTAATTAATCTGAAGTAATTAACTATACATGCAAAAGAAAGGGGGATCAATCTTCAGCTGGTTACATCCTAATCCTAACTAATTAAGGAAACAAATCCTAAAATATAATGAAAAAAAAAAAACTCTTAAATAATCATCTAAGATATTCTACAAAATTTGAATAGACAATAGTGATATCATGATATATTGTCTAGTTATTCTCAAACTCTTGCTTAAGCTAAAAGCTTACGAGACTTTAATCTTTTTACAATTAAAATGAGTATCAAGAATACCTTTGACACAAATCCAATAGCCAAGCCAATCACTCTCCAATCACAGTCTGTTGTACGAGGATAAAAAGAATACCCAAATATCTGGGCATTGTGGTGTTGACTGGGGAGAATGTTCTATGGATCTACAACAGGTATTGTTTATCCATTGGAGACAATATTATCTCTAAGAGTAAGAAACAAAATATTATTGTTCAACTTACCGTAGAAGCAAAGGATAGAACTATGACTACAGTCACTTGTGAATTGATATGGATTGACCAACTTCTTCAAGAGTTAAGATTTTGTGATATTCAATTCAACAAATGAAGTTATATTATAACAACTTCTCACATTGCCTTTAACCTAGTATTCAATGAAAGAATCAAACATATAAAGATTAACTTTAATTTTATTCAAGATAAGTTGTTAGCCAAGGAAATTTCTACTAAATTTGTCAACTCAAATTATCAACTTGTATATGTCTTGACAAAGTCTTTAAGAAGGTCTCGAATTCTATTCATATGTTCTAAGCTTGATGTATATAATCTATATGCTCAAGTTTGAGAGGAAGTGTTAGATTTAAACTTTAGATAATATATTATATGTTGTTCTTGTAATTGTAAAAAGCTATTTTCTTCTCCTCTATTCTGAATTGTAGCTTGCTGCCGTCTATAGGCACAGTTTGCTTTAATTTCTTTTTTGTCAGTGTACTCATTGCTCCTTTTATATATATATATGTGTGTGTGTGTGTGTGTGTGTGTTGTGTGTCTGTATGTGTGCGGGCATCTGTAGCTGAGTGACAATGTGAGCAACTCAGACTTTTCTCTCGATATCTCAAGTGTTAACATTGGAAAATAGCTAATAGTAGCCATAATCATGGTAATCATAAATAACTGTTATAAAAACACCAAGAAAGTATCCAATAAAACATTAAAGCTAACAGAGAGAAAACATCAGAACTAACTAACCACCAAATACAAAAAGGCTGCAGCCCAAAGTAGTCAAACAGCCACAGTAAGATGGCAGGCAGAGACAATGAGAGAGATGGTAAAGTAGGTAAACAATGTCATAGGTGGAAGGCCAGCACACTCTCAACAAAGGCTAGCCAGACATATTCCAGTGATTACTTTCATACTGTGGTGATATTATGAGGTTTAGGTGCGGACGATACAACATGGATATGGTGTATCATAACATGATACAATATACTAAGCACTAGCTCCTATTTACAGTTATACTAGACTTCTATTCTAATTGAATTAATTAAATTAGCATGCAATTAAATATAATGAAATATGAAAACTACTTAGGAGATCATTGAGATACCATAAAACATTCTACAATTCAATATCAATATAACATTTTATAAATATTCTAAGTTCTAAAAACAATTAATAAATTTCTCCCTTCCCCTATGGGAGAAATGTTAACAATTGATAACAAAGAGATAAACCAAAAAGCTTTCTTGAAAAGATAATTTTACCTCCAAAGTTTCCTTTGGCTCCTTGGTTTTTGCATCAATAAGTTCAATCAAGACAGGTTTTCCATCCCTTGCTGGTGTGATCTATACAATATACATGACGACTGTAACACGTCAAAGTAGCCAAACAAAATTATATAAAATATTACAAAATGTAGTTACCTTGGTTGCGAAAACTCCAGTATGATAATCAATATTCCGGGGATTTATAAGGACCCTCTGAGCCAACTTGCTAATTTCAGGATCAAATCCAGGCATAAGTTGATCTAAAGCCTCTACAAAAGTAACCTGCAAAATACCAATATTACTTTACTTATCTTTTCAGTGATAAATTGGGGATCGTAAATTTTATAAATATGGAAGCAATATAAAGGTTAAATATTTTGTTAACATTTGGGACTAATAAAAGGTATAAACTGCAATATGATTTTACAGCACATTCATACTTTTTTTATTTCAAGTGAAGGGATCCATTATTTGTAACATTTCTCAATAACAAAAGGTAATGAAAAAAGAAAGAAAAAATATCACAAAGATGTGCTACCTCACTTCCAAGTGCTGTATAGACATCACTGAATTCAAGGCCAATATATCCACTTCCTACAATTGCTATCCAATCAGGAACAGACTCCAGTTTGAGTGCATGGTCACTGGTGATCACAGTCTTCCCTGAAGGTAAATTATAAGGAAATGTTTCACTAAAAGGTAATTATATCCAATAAATCTAATGAAGAGTTCAAGATATGAAATAAATGATTTGAATTTTACACATGAGCATCAAACTTGTGTCACAAATTAGGGAGAAGATTCCCTCGTGACATAAATATAGGACCAGACAAATGTTAAAATTTCAAATAGATGGAAGCTATATTATATCTTGAGTATCTATACTTATGTTTAAAAGGGGTATGCACTAGTATATTGGGGTGTTTTCTGAAATATTACTTGCCAAAGAGATAATGAATGTTTAAGTCTACCTTATGACCCATGTGATCTGCAAAAAACAAAGGTAACCAATCCCTTCCCCTAATAAAAAGAGTACAGATAGGACTTCATAAATCACTAAATTGATTTTTCAGATTGGAAATCAGAATATCCGTCTATACTGAAGAAAGATTTTCTTTATGCACATGTCAATAGAGTCTATTACATACTGTTAATAAAAAAAATATCTCCAATTTACAGTTCATCACCCTTTTTTCCATCGCATGCACAAGAACTAATAGCACTCTAGTTTCTACTTTCTTGTAGCTGGAAGACAAGCCTAAAGCACGGAATTCAGTAAAACTAGAATGAGGAAGAAAAGGATTAATATGTACCATCAACTTCAATGCCCTTCGGTACAAAAGGAACAGAACCAGTAGCAATGATGATATCTTTTGCAGTTACTATTTTGTTTGAAGGGCCAACTTTCACCTTTTGAGGACCCTGAACAAATTTGATTTCTAAATTAATTTCATTCTAATAATTTCCTACTTTCAAACATTCCTAACTCAAAGTAAGTCACACTAATATCTACTTAAGTATTTACAATCATAATGCCATAGAAACCTCAGCACAATATCAACGTCACATTACCAATATAGTTCCAAAACCAGTAAGTATGTCTACTCCAAGCGCTTTCATTGAGTTGGTCAAATTATTACGTATTTTCGAAGCAAGATTATTAGCATGATCAGCGACTCCTTGTCTGTCATACCCAGCCGCAGATACCTAAACAAGCAGAAAAAAAAAACAAATAAACAAATAAAAAACAAATGATCATGTAACTGTCCGTCGGTCTACACTTTCTACGACATAATAATAAAATTCTAAGAGTTTAGGTCTTGTTTTCAACGAAATCAGTGTAGACATAACTTCCAGATATTTTAAAAATGTTAACCATTCAGAGTTACCGGTGGTATAACCTTATAAGATAATTATTCTAGAAATCATTGCACAACTATTCGCACATAATGCAACACTCTGACCTGTAAGCCAAAGGACTTCAAGTGATGATCGCTCTTTAGTTCTCGCATACGACCACTCACTGCCAAAAGAGCTTTCGAAGGAACGCATCCCCTGTTCACACATGTCCCTCCCACCACATCTCCTTCCACAATCGCAGTTTTCAAACCCTGCAATTACTCCGTTAAAAATTCTCACAAAAAATGCAATACTCGACACAACTCACTTTATCACACAATCAGCATTCTACAACGGCTATCTATTTCTAGATTCATAACATAAAGAATAATTACCATATCAATTATCGGATTAGTAACTTAGTAACGAATTTGATTATCAAACTAAGAATCTCGCTATAACTAGTTGGATAAAAAAATCTTTTCCGAGATCGAACCTTCTCGACGGCATGAAGCGCAGCGCCGTGGCCGCCAACACCGGCGCCGATAATGAGCAAATCATAATCGAACGAGCTGGGAGGGCTGCCATTGGCAGAGAGCGCAGCCGAGACTGCGGCAGAGTGAGGTTGGCGAGGGAGTTGGGATTGTTGACGTTTGAGAGAAGCAGCGAGACCTGAATCAAATGCCTCACGCCGCAAGCCGCAGAAGCGGAGATTGAGAGGCGAGGCCGCAGGGACCGGGAAGGAATGGCGTGATCTGGAGACAGTGGCGGCGGAGGAAGAGGTGGCGGATAACGAGAGAGAGAGCGAGGATTGCATTCTGGAGGGAGAGGAAATGGAAATGGTGAAATGGAGATGTAGAGAGAGAACTAGATCTGAGAGTGGGAATGAGTACGAGAGTATATGAGAGACAATGAAACCTCGAGGAGTCCGTTGGGAGTTAGGAACAGTGAGAAGGGAGTAGAAAACGGCGGAGAAATCAAAGAGTGGTCGATCAACTACTTTTGTTTGCTTTGAACTCTGCTTTATTATTCACAGGTTTTCTGATTTTTATTTTTATTTTTATATAGATATTGCACATTTTTCGACTTTTTTTCATAAATAATACTGTTTTCAAAAATATTTACCAAAATAGCACCTCTGCAACTTTATTTACACAACTAGCACTGTTTACTGTTCACTTAATAAAATAATATTATTTCGCACAACTGTTCACTGTATTAAAATAATATTATTTCGCGTACTGAACTCTCGCTCAAGCGAAGAAAACCTTCGCTTGCGCGAGGAAACCTGTAACAAAGGGGTAGTCTGGGGTAAATTCTCGCTCAAGCGAAGGTTTTCTCGCTTGAGCGAAAAGTATGATCGACTATTATCCCATTATAGTCGATCACTTTGACATATATGACTTTAGATAGCGGTTATTTGGCCAACCGCTATCTTAACTACTACATTAGATAGCGGTTATTTTCCCAATCGCTATCTAATATAGTAGTTTAGATAGCGGTTGGCCAAATAACCGCTATCTAAAGTGACTCAAGCAAAAATCACACCGCTTGAGCGAGGACACCTGGAAACAAGGGGGACTCTCGGGTTCTGTTTCGCTCGAGCGACGCGGACTTTCGCTCGAGCGACAAAGTGATTGAAATCTGTTTCAATCGATTATAACGTATTTCAATCGATTAAAATAACTTGGAAAAATTTTGTACAGAGTTTCAATCGATTAAAACGCGTTTCAACCGATTAATACAACTTCGAAAAAGTTTGTACAAAGTTTTAATCGATTAAAACTTCTTTTTATCAGCTAAAATAACTTGGAAAGTTTTAATAAGAAAGTTTTGCAGTATATCAATCGATTAAAACACGAAACAATCGATTGAATCAAACTTAGAAAAGTTTTGTAAAGTGTTTTAATTGATATAACCGTTGTAGTATCAGCTAAAACAAATCGTTAAAGAATCAAGAACGTATCAATGGATTGAAAGGACTTTTAACAGATTGAAACGGCTATTTCAACAGATTAAAACAAACTTTCAACAGATTAATTAATGCAGTGAGTTATGAAAATACTCTTTAAAATCAGTTTGCTTGAACTTTTTAAACATACATTGAATAAGATCTTCGTTTTATCAAATGATTCAATAAGATCTTCATCATTTTCAATTAATTGAAAAACTCCTAAGTTTCATACATTGAGACATTTCTTAACTAACACAATCTAATGATGCGAAGTAGATGCACATGCAATATTGGGACATGTTCTTCTGCTATGACCAGGGGTATGACAATATGAACATTTTTTAATCCTACTTTGATGTTCTGTAATGTCCATCTCAGTTCTTATACGACTTGATTTTGGTCGGCCCTTTGAAGTTCTTTTCATTTCTGGATTTGCACACAAAGTAGGTCCTGTGTATGTTGGCCAATATTCTTCATTTCGCAATAACCCAAATTGTGTTCCGTATACCTTTGAAACTTGTTGTAAGGTATACACTGAATTAATATAGTTGTTGAAGTCATGGTGTGCATGCTTGCATGTAGCAAGAACATGTGAACAAGGCATGTGAAATTTTTGGAATTTCCCACAGTCACACCATAACTCATCAAGGTGAACTGCAAACTTCCCTGCTGGTCGAACTTCACGCGGGTTTTGTGTTTCTTCTACTACAAATTTTGTGGTAGACCTGTCAAACGTTATGACCCTGTGCGTGTTTAGGAGTGTGCAATGTGAGAACTTCAAAGAATGAAAGTAGTCTATTTATAATGAAGTCCATTGGTTTCAATCCAATGCTCCCTCACATGGTTTCTGCTTTTTTGTCTAACCCAATGCAGGGAATCCAAGATTGGAATCCAAGATTTTGTCTAACATTGGAATCCAATGCTCCCTCACATGGTTTCTGCTTTTTTGTCTAACCCAATGCAGGGAATCCAAGATTGGAATCCAATGCTTTGGCCAAGATTGGAATCCAATGCTCCCTCACATGGTTTCTGCTTTTTTGTCTAACCCAATGCAGGGAATCCAAGATGGGAATCCTGACTTCGGTGGGTGACTGAGCATTGTAAATAGTTGCAGGTTTTCTCGCTCAAGCGATGGTTTCTCGCTCGAGCGAAACAGAACCCGAGAGTCCCCCTTGTTTGAAGGCTTCATCGCTCAAGCGGTGACTTTGTCGCTTGAGCGAGTAATGACCGAATCACCTTAGATAGCGGTTGATAACAACCGCTTTTAAAAATATATATTACATAGCGGTTAGGCTTTAACCGCTTTCTAATGTAGTAGTTTAGATAGCGGTTGGCCAAATAACCGCTATCTAAAGTCATATACTGAAAGTGATGCTAGCAAAGATGTCATTGATTTGATGAAGTCAAAGATAAAGTCAAAAGTCAACTCTGCAGCGATCAACAAGTCACCCGAGATAATTGAGTTGAAGATTTAGTGTGTCTTAACGAAAGTTTCTGCTGCATAAAGTTTTTTCATCATTTTGCAAAATGCCTCAAAAATAGTTTTAAACAAATCAAAAACAAAAGCATTTTGACAAAGAACTTTCTTAATAATGTTTTTAACTAATATAGTTTTAAAAGAAACGATTAAAATCACTTAGAATGTTTAAAGAAGTGTTTTTACAGTATTTTAATCGATACAAACTTCTTTTAATCGATTAAAACCACTTTGGAAGTCAGGATGATCGATCAGAATGAAATTATGACCGATCAGAGGTGGTTATGATCGATCGAATTGAATTATGACCGATCGGACCTATTTCAATCGATTAAAACGCATTTCAATCGATTAAAATAACTTGGAAAAACTTTGTACAGAGTTTCAATCGATTAAAACGCGTTTCAACCGATTAAAACAACTTAGAAAAATTACATGCAGTTTTTTAATCGATTAAAACTTCTTTGTATCAATTAAAATAACTTGAAAAGTTTTATAAGAAAGTTTTAAAGTAAATCAATCGATTAAAACGCGAATCAATCGATTGAATCACTCTCGAAAATGTTTGTAAAATGTTTTAACCGATATAAACATGGTTGGAGGGTTGGTCTTTCCACCAACTAGACGTAAAATCTGCCTTCTTAAATGGCTATTTGGAGGAGGAAATATATGTAACACAGACCATTGGGATTCATAGTCAAAGGAGAAGAGCACAAGGTATACAGGCATTGGAACTATTATGCATCGGATGAAATACTCACGTGATATTCTTAGCAGGTTCGGGATGAAGAATTGCAATGTCTGCAGTAAACTCCAACGGAAATGGGTCCGAGATTAGAAAGGGGCACCGAGGAGGAAGATGTTGATCACACAGAGTTTCGCATAATCATTGGAAGTCTAAGATACCGTGTAACACCGGACCCGTGGTAGCTCTCTCCTCCCGTCAAGCGAGTATATAGCTCGCCGCACAGTGCTGCATGTCAAGCCGCATGGCTCGGGATGCTCGTTGAAGGAGCCGAATGCGAATTGGTCCAACCACCAACATTGTTTGTTGATAATAAGTCCGCAATAGACTTAGCTAAACACCCATCGACTCATGGAAAAAGCAAACATATAGAAATGAGGTTTCATTTCTTGAGAGAGGTTTCATTTCTTGAGAGAGCAGGGTTAATGATAAGAAGCTTGAAATAGAACACCTGCAGTATGTAAGATCGAGTGCGGATATCTTTACAAAGCCTTTGAAGGCTCGCTAGATTTTGTAAACTCGGAGAGTGTCCGAGAATTGTTCGGTTTTGACTTAAGTAGGCATGTTGAGATTTAAGTCAAAATGCATGATGGGTAGTTACGTGTATGGGTATTATGTGCATGGGGCATGCATTACGTGCATGGGTTTCTTTTAGTTTTTTTTCTGTTTTGTTCACGTTCTACGTTCTACTCGTTATTTGTTATTTCTACTGTATATAAACATTACAGTTTTCATACATCAATAAAAGGAATGTACTTCAGTTTCTATCTGTAGCTCTCCCATTTCAGATATAACGAGAGTCCCCCTTGTTTCCAGGTGTCCTCGCTCAAGCGGTGTGATTTTCGCTTGAGTCACTTTAGATAGCGGTTATTTGGCTAACCGCTATCTAAACTACTATATTAGATAGCGGTTGGGCAAATAACCGCTATCTAATGTAGTAGTTTAGATAGCGGTTGGCCAAATAACCGCTATCTAAAGTCATATATGTCAAAGTGATCGACTATAATGGGATAATAGTCGATCATACTTTTCGCTCAAGCGAGAAAACCTTCGCTTGAGCGAGAATTTACCCAGACTACCCCTTTGTTACGGGTTTCCTCACGCAAGCGAAGGTTTTCTTCGCTTGAGCGAGAGTTCAGATCTGCGAAATAATATTATTTTAATACGAGTGAACGAGTGAACGGTTGCGCGAAATAATATTATTTTATTAAGTGAACAGTAAACAGTGCTAGTTGTGTAAATAAAGTTGCAGAGGTGCTATTTGGGTAAATATTTTTGAAAACAGTATTATTTATGAAAAAAAGTCACATTTTTCTTAGGACAAGTTTAGTGTAGGCTATCTTGCTTGTAGAATTTTATGCACGATATTTATTGATGTTGTTTTATAATTATATTTAAAGTTTTACTTTGTTAATGTGCTATATATTTAATACATATTATCAAAATAAAAGTTTGAAATGAGGTCCCTGAGAAACTTGTTAATTATAGTGAAGGCTTTCATTCTGAACTGTAATCAAATAGCTATTAAAAGTTTAGAAAATTGTATTGATTTTCTCTTTTTTAGTATCTAAATCTAAACATTGTTTTGTTGTCTTTAATTTTATTATTGTAATTTTTAATGTTTTATAAAAAAATATATGG